TACGTAAATGTACGCACATTTGTCTATAATGTCATAGTCTCCGGTCTATGAATAATTTATGGATATCTCTAGGGCATATGCTTCATGTGTTGCGTGTCCCGAACCTCCGGTTGAGGTAAGACAAATCAAAATCACATTCTTCCAAGGTGGTTTGATAGATAGTACTATCTTGTATATAGGTATTTTGGTCTTTGGACACGTTCACTCCGGAGAAATTCCTTCGTAAAAATCACATTCCAATCTGATCCCTCTCATGTGTTGTCTTCTAGACCGCTCCTAATATGTGTTCAGGCCCGATGGCTTTCAAGAGGTGAAAGGTGCATTTTGAGAAATATGACATAAATTATAAGAAACGAAAGGAGTACAACTACCTGACTGGTGCCTTATATGTGAGGTATAACAACGTTGGATAGTGATGTTATATATATAATGTTCAAATCTTGGACGGTAAGGCATGGATCGGTGCCTCAGGGATCTTTCCCTCACCGCTTGCATCTCGACGATCTCCAACTCTCCGCATCTTTCTCCCTCCAATTCGGTGGTCGTGTGCCATAATGGAGACCTGGCTATAAACCATGTCGGACCTCTCAGGTTCGCGATCTCCGGTCCCTCCCCCTCCTCCCCCTCCGCCACAGAAGTACTCAAATCGTGCCGCCAATGCCCTTGCTAGATTCGCCCAACCTTTCTTCTTGGGCTCAAGACCACCTAGTCCCCAAAGCAGTCGTGCGGATGGCCCCCGGTCGATCAGATCCAAATCACTGTAAGTGCTGCAGCTTTCTCACACCGCTCTGATACCCCTACCTCCCTGCTTTACTCGGTTTCCATATTTCCATCTTTGTTTTCAACGCAGTGACCACCCCCCACCATTTGGTCGGAGCTAGATCGGGGAATTGCATTTGAACCAATTGAATCTTCAGTTTTCTAATCATCATCCTTCTGTAAAGACCAGGAGAATCGCAGACTGTGACCCACAAGACAGGCATAGCAATCTCGGCTTTGGACATTTCGCCAGAGCGGACACATGCGGTTATCGCAGGCAAGGAGATTCTCAAAACTATCCAGGTCTCCCCAGACCGCTCGTCAGAGGAATTCAATATTCGCAATGCAGTCATTAGCTATGCATCCACCCACCACGACGTGGGCGTTTCGATGCCACACAAGGACCAATTGAATGTGAAGGACGTAAAATGGTCACATGGGAACTATGACCGGATAATCGCAACTGCAGTCGCAAATGGTCGCATTGTGGTTTACGACCTCCAGCGGCCTGGTCTCCAATTATGTCGTTTCCATGGTCACAATCGCCAGGTGCACAGGCTTGCCTTCAACCCTCATCTTCCTTCTTGGCTCCTATCTGGCAGTCAAGATGGTACAATTCGGATGTGGGATCTGCGATCTGCCTCTGCAAATCGGGGAACTTCCACGTGCCCTAGCAAACATTCGTATCAGGGTAACAGCGATGCCATCCGAGACGTCCGGTGGTCGCCTAATGATGGGGTTATATTTGCGACTGCTTCAGACAGCGGCGCGATCCAGATGTGGGATTATCGAAAGGTTAACGCCCCACTGATGAGAATCGCCGCCCATGATCGCCCATGCTATGCAGTCGACTGGCACCCTGACGGAAAGCATATTGTTAGTGGTGGCACGGATCGCCAAGTAAAGGTCTGGGACTTTTCTTCATCTGCAGAGCGGCGGCAGAAACCTGCATTCCAGTTCCGGACGCCCCAGGCGGTCACAAATGTTCGATGGAGGCCTCCTTCTTGGGTTGGTGAGTCTCCTGCCTCGGGAGAATGGCAATCATCTCAAGTTGTCACGTCCTACGACAAAGAAGACCCACGCGTTCACCTTTGGGATCTCCGTCGCCCGCATGTTCCATTCCGCGAGTTCGATCGGTACGATGTACCCGCATCGGATCTGCTCTGGCGCTCCAAGGATCTTTTGTGGACGGTTGGCGAGGCCGGTGCCTTTACCCAGACTGATGTTCGGTATGCGCCAACTGTGGTCAACCGCCGACCGATGTGTTCTGTGGCCTGGAGTCCTCATGGCGAGTTTGTTGCGTTTAGTCAACAACGACCCAGGCGGCGTCCTCTGGGAGTCAATGCCGCAGAATTTCTACGGGCCGACGAAGATGACTACAGCACTGGCGAGAGATCACTAAGCCATAGCCCTGCAGATGACATCTTTGACGAAGCCGCTTTGGCCACTTCCCTTCGGAATCGGCATACCAAATCGACCGCGATTCGAGCATCCAAGTCTTTGGGCAGTACTCCCCCGGGAGCAGTGGATTTCATACCCGTGCTCCCTCTAGAACAAGCATTGGCCAAACTCGCAACCCCAATACCTAGTCAGGCAGGGATCATTACAAGTATTCCGGGTGCTACAAACGACTCGGCAGTCTTTCGGTATTTGGCAAGCCACTATACACCGTTGTTCGATGAGCATAGTGAATATAGAACGCAGACAGACGTCCTAAACACTTTGATTGAATCACTGGACCACAACGCTGAATGTGCAGATGAGGTATCCCTGGCCAGATTGGCTCAGACTTGGAGAATTGTCAAATTCGCTATTCTCGAAGAACTTCAACGTAGAGCTAGAGATCATCCAGCAAAAGGTGGTCTGAAAGACAGGTCATCCAAGGATGGAGGGTTGATAGACAGGTCACGACCTGATGATGGTCGACAGGACAGAGTCAAGAGCCGGTTGTTCAAAGGGGTCATGGAGGCGGTCCCCGAGGCTGAGAGCTCGTCGAATATGACCACCCCTATTGCACGGCCATTACCTGATTCCCCGAAAGACTCCTGGTCGAGTACTGATTCCCAAATCCCCTCGTTGAGCGATGGGGCCATCGACCTTGACCCTCTCCCGCCGTCAGTCTTGAGTGACCACAACGGTTGGGGTATGTCGGATGGTATACCCTTGCCGCGTGGGCGACTATCATCAACCGATGATACTCATTCATCGAAGTATCTATGGGATCCCACACAAGAAGACTTGGACATGGAACAACGGTCTGCGCCTCGGGCAATTGCCGGCAAAGCAGATTGGCGCCGTCGCGGTCACTCAGACTTCCCTCAGGAAAATTCCGAGGATGACTATGACCAAAAGCTGGAGGATAAACGTGCAGCGATTCGTGACTACAAGCAATTTCCTAAGAAACCCTTGACTCTTGAATCGCCAATGGAATCTAACCGGCCTCCCCGTTCCGACCGTTATAGTCGGCATGATTCTTCGGAGAGTTTTCCCATGTTCTCTACATCTACCGACAGTTCACACCCCTCCAAGTCTATTGGTGCGTCTTACTCGTCTACTGGAAACCTTGACGCATCTAAGTCTCTTGATGCTGGACAATCTACCTCGGCACTGAGAAGAGGATCAATTTTAGCCTCTACACGGGAGGAATCCGAGGATGAGATCTTTGACCATGTCGTCTCAGAGACTGATCGACTTCATCTGGAGCGGCCGTCGAGCCCTCCCCCTTTGATCACAGAATCAACACCCCTTGACAGACAGCAGCAAACTTTCCAACCAGATGATACACCCTACCTCCGCACCACGCCTTATTCAACAATGGACGGTATCCCTCGAGTGCAGATCCCGCTCACGCCAGACGGAACAGACTTGAAACCGTGGGGTATTGAGGCGATTCTGAAAGAATCAGTCCGGTATTACCACAGCAGTAGCAGCTTAGTCGATATTCAGGCTGCCGCTCATCTTCTCCAGAAGCTGCACGTTCTTTTCCGGGACTGCGAACAAATTCTCCCGTACGAGGAGTGCGAAATGGTCTTCAAAACCTACAATGAGCACCTGATTCGGCACTCGATGGACCTTGAAGCAGCGGAGCTCCGCCTATTTTGTGTATCAACATATCCTGCCGTCTATGAATACGCCCAGACAGATTCATTCATCAACGTCTACTGCTACACGTGTCAACGACCCTTTGAAAATCCCACCCAAGACAATAGCCGCTGTCATCGCTGTAGCACACCTCAAGCACCATGCTCTATTTGCGTGAGCCTTGATCCACCCCCAGAATGGGTTTCAGAGCAGCAAAATCCGTCAATCACTTCATCAACCCTCCCAAGTCCTGACCCGGACTCCGAGACCACTTCAAACCATTCCTCACAGTCCTCAGTTCCCACTGAACCCCTCCCAGAGTCGGAGGTCGAGATGCTCGAGCCCTTCACTGCACCTCAGCTCAAAGGCTCCGCCCTCTGGACTTGGTGCCAAGGCTGCGGCCACGGCGGCCATCTAGCCTGCATCAAAACCTGGCTCGGCGACATCTCAACCAGTGAAGGCGGCTGTGCGACCGCCGGCTGCTCGCATGACTGTGGGCCTGGCCCACGTCGTGAAATAAACCGCCAAGCCCTGCAGGCGGAGTCCAAGCGTCGCGATTCTGCTAGTCGCTCCGCCGGTGTCGGGCTCGTCAAGCGTGATCCCTGGACTAAGGGTGAAAGTAAGGCCGTCGAGAAAGTCCGCGGCATGCTGGGTGTCGCTGGCGTCGCCGCTGCCACTGGTGGCAGTGGTGCTGGCCCGATCACTTCGACAAGCAACACTTCCTCTCCGGTGCCGGTCTCACCCGGCGCCATGTCGCCTAAGAGGGTGCGACTTGTTACCCCAAATGAGCAAGAGAAGGAAAGTGTTGCCTCGGCTCGCACGGGTCCTTCTTTGAGGGACTGAGCGTGAGTCTTGCGTAATGCTCAACCTGTACTACTATTAGCGCGTGATTTTGCTTTTACGTCTCCCCTTCACTTTCTTGTCTTCTTTTTTTTATTATTTGATTCCCCAATCGCGATACTTTCAATGAATCAATCCATGCATAACACGTATTCAAGCACATGTGTATGGTGTACAGCCCTGGAGTGGCGGGCGTTTCTCCATATGTAGTCATCGCATACTGGATAGGATGTATCGTACGCACATAGTAATTTCCGTAAGATCGCTTGGAAAGTTATTTAGACACATTCTTAAAACATTAAATCCCCATTCACCTTAGTCTAGAACCTCCGCTTCTTCTTTGCAGGAGCTTTTCCCTTAGCCTCAAGCGACCTCTTCAGTTCCTCGCGCTTCCGGTCAGCCCGCTGATCTTCAGTCTCCGGCTCTGCAAGTGGAGCAGAAGGGACCTTCTTCGCTGCTGGTGTGGGCAATGGAGACTCCTCCTTTTTAAAAGCTTGTCTGTCAACCTTCGGTTTAGCAGGTGTGGTTTTCTCAGGTGACCTGACCACCGTGTCAGATGTAGGTAGCGGAGACTTGTCTCGAGCTGGTTCGGAGACTTTGGCTTTAGCTTTGCCACCTATCATGCCAAGTTTCCCGGTACGTTTAGCCCTGGCTGCTGGTGGCTGTGTCGACGATGTGGGACGATGATCTTTGTCGATCCTTTCTTCCTCTTCTGGTGACTGTGAAGGTCCCTGGGGTTCTGGAGACTCACGGGGTTGTGCTGGAGGGGAAGGGGATGGAGAAGGAGAGGGCTCTTTTGCTTGCTTTTTCTTGCCGCCTATCATGCCCAATCCGCCCTTTGGCCTTTTTGGTGCCTCTCGAACTGGCGCCGGAGGAGAAGGGGCTGGAGAGGGAGATGGCGAGGGCCGGCGGTCCGCCTCTTTCTTGTTTTTGCCGCCAATTTTACCCAATCCACCCTTTGTTACTTTCGGCACCTCTCGGGCTTGTGCCGGAGGAGAAGGGGGTGGAGAGGGCTGACGTTCTGTTTCTTTTTTGTTCCTGCCGCCAATACTACCCAGTCCACCCTTTGTTACTTTCGGTGCCTCTCGAGCTTTTGGCTGCGGCGCAGAGAGCTCTGGTGACCTTGAAACGCTGGGAATGCGTTTTTGACGCTGTGCCGGTTCAGGCTCGGAGTCGGAGTCTGATGCTGTGGCTTCGTCTTCCTCTGAAGGCATTACTGGTGGAACAGGACTTTCCTTTCTGGGTTTTTGCTTTGGTGGCGATATTTTGCCTTTTTCATGTTGAGGTTTTAGTCTGGGAGGGGTTTCTTGTCGCTAGATGAACAGGGTTAAGCTATACTTGTTATCTGTGATTAGGAATAAGTCATAGCATACCTGAAACTCATCGACATCACTGCTTGCCGTTGAGTCCCCTCCTTCATCGATGTGCTTGGTCTCAATCAGCTCTTCTCTGTCTTTGTCCTTGGGACTTTTCTCTTCAATGGGAGGGGATTCTCTCGCGCTAGTTCCAGAGCGCCTCTCAAGTTGATGCCACCATTCAGCTTGTGACAGGGTGAAGGTATCCAAATTACGAGAATCACCGGATTCCGAGATTTCCTGCAGTAAATTGGTGGCCAATCCCGCCCCATGTGATACTCCTGTCTCAGCAAGCCAGGTCTGTTCATCAAACTGCGCAATACCCTTAACAAATTTAGCAGCCTCAGACCGCGTAATAGCTTTGCGAGACGCACGCGATCCTGCGGCGCTAGGAAACACAGATCCTAGGTCCACACCAAGTGTTTCAATTTTGTCAAACAACTTGCTAAGTACGTAGTCTTTCTGCTTGATTTGATTCAAGAGCAGATGTTGGCGGGACTCCCACTCCGCTTCCTCCCTCAGCAGCGGAATCAATAGATTAGTAGTCAAGGATGACAGGGGCTCCTTCGATAACCTCAAAGACCACTGAAGAGGCCTCAATGGGGAAGGAAGCTTGGTTGTTGTCGTGATTTCAAGCGAGTCGGTTTGCGTTCCACTGCTTAGGATTGCGCTTTCATTGCCCTTTTGTAAAGCTTCTCCAATTTTCTCCAGGAGCACATTGAGCTGTTCTAGGTCTTCTCCAGGATCGATCGTTGTGGCATCTTCCTCTGCTCTCCTGGTGATAGCTTTATGGGGCAGCCGCTCTGACCAGATATAGGTGAGGTCCGTTAGGTGGATCTCATAGGCTTGTCGGGTCCAGGTATACTGGAAGAGTAAGGGAGGCAACCCCTGCTGGGACAAGTGAAGACGCTGCCATCTCGAAGGCATAATTTGAGCGACTTGTTGATTTACAATGCGGAGTCTCAAGGTTGGGAAGTTCCAAAGTTGTCTCATATAGCTGCCTGGAGCCATAAGGGAAGGTTTGCCGCCCGCTTGACTTTCCCGCTGATCTCCCGAACTTCTAAACTTCGCTTTCGACATCCAAGTTACATATGTTCGGATCGCATACGTTTTAATTCTTACTCCTCGTTATATCCTTACAGTGTTCACCATGTCTGCGCGATTTCCAGACCGGTCAGACTCAAAGCGCAGTAGGTCGCGATCGCCATCCTCGTGGCGTCAGCCCCAGAAACACCCTCGTCGGGACGACGGAGAATGGCGCGACCGACAAGACTCGGATCGCAGATGGAACAATGAGAGATCGGGTCCTTCGCAGCAGCCTCGCAACATGCGCGATCAAGTGCGGCTCAACTTGATCCAGGAAGACCAGCAAGAGCGCGAGTGGGTCGCGCAGGAGGATCTGTTCGTGCTGAAGCAGGCCAAAAAGAAGGCAGAGATTCGAGTCAAGGAAGGGCGCGCAAAGCCTATCGACTGGCTGACGGTTACTCTCCGCATAATCGATCCTACGCGAGATCCCTTGGATGACGAAATAGCAGACTCCGATCTGGATGTCGTGGACCCGGACGGTGTTTTTGAGGGACTATCGCAGACCCAACTACAGGACTTGGAGAAGGATATTGATACATTTGTTAACCTTGAGACAAACGCGAAGAACCGTGAATTCTGGCAGGTAATGTTCTCCCACTCTGCTGTCTACCGGACACTCCTGTTGACCACCGTCCACCCTACAGACCATGAAAGTCATCTGCCGAGATCGTCAAAAGACCATTACACCCGAGGGTCGCGCGCTGAATTCCGTGGCTGCCGACATCAACAAACTACTAAGCCCAAAAACCTACGAGCAGCTTCAAAATCTCGAAGTACAAGTGAAACGGAAGTTGAACTCGAACGAGCCGATCGATACGGATTACTGGGAAGAGCTGCTGCGCAGTCTGACTGTGTGGAAGGCCAGGGCAAGTCTGAAAAATGTTTATCAAGCTATTATCGATGAGCGTGTTCGCGAGCTGCGGAGACAGCAAAGACAGGAAGCTGAATCAATTCGGGAAAAGCTAGCGCCTCTTGCTCCAATTGTCTCTGGTGATATAACAAGTTCTGCCGAGTTTGAAGGCCTGGATCCGGATCCATTGCTCCAGCTTCGCCCGGAGGACAAAGGCTTGGAAATCATGGACGAGTCCGCATTCCTTAATCAAGTGGTAGGTTTTCGAGCTTCCTCTCATTTATTCCAATCCACATGCTAATAAACCGCACAGGCCCGCGAACGCCAGAAAATTATCCGCATGGGGTTTGTCCCACTACGGCACCGAACTGCAGAGAAGTCATCTGCAGTAGTATCGAATCCGACATCTACCAACGCCCCCGCGGCCTCCGTATCCACACGGTTCTCGTCCATCCCGAACGAAGACTTCTCGCAAGCGACCAAAGCGTTATATGAAAGAGAGCTCGCCAAGGGTGTCAGTGAGAATGAGGAAATATTTACGGGCGAAGAGGCCGTGAGCACTAGCTCACAACCTCAATGGGCCGGTAAACATCGGCCTCGAAAGCCACGGTACTTCAACCGAGTCCAAATGGGTTACGAATGGAACAAATACAATCAAACCCATTACGACCATGACAACCCCCCACCCAAGGTTGTACAAGGTTACAAATTCAACATCTTCTACCCCGACTTGATTGACAAGACCAAAGCGCCGACTTACCGGATTGAGCGTGAGAACGGTCGGAAGCGTGGCGAGTCATCGGCTGAAGCGGGTGAGGAAGACACCTGTCTCATTCGGTTCATGGCTGGACCTCCGTACGAAGACCTTGCGTTCCGCATTGTCGACAAAGAATGGGATTATAGTGCCAAACGCGAGAGGGGCTTCAAGAGTACATTTGACAAGGTATGTCGTGCTACTAAACGATTCACCCCCTGTTTCTCAACTGACGTAATCATTTCCTTTAAGGGAATCCTTCAACTTCATTTCCAGTTCAAACGGGTAAGTCGCTTTCTTTTGGGATTTTACAAAGATAATACTAACCGGTTGTCTCAGATCTATTACCGGAAGTAACACCTGCGCAACCAACGATTTCCACATGGGCGCCATATCGAGATGGAGAGAGTGGATTATGATAGTGCATGCAGGGAGTTGTTTGGGGGCTGTATTTTCCAGTGACTTGATACCCAGTGAATCAGACCAAACCTGGATGATTGGACTGGAAAAATTTCCCCCAAAGTTTTCGCAGAATAAGCCGGACTTGATATATGGAGATATCAGATGCTTGATCAACATCCTCGAGCTAAATTTGACGACCTCACCACTTTTCCCCCCCATTATGACCGTCTCTTAGGGGGAAGCCAAAAAGGACCTCCTCACTCGCCTTGACCATAACTAGCGTATCGACTCCATATGTCTCCATGTCTCTTTTTTTTCTATTATTTTTCTATTACCAGGGTACTCGCAACACGGGGGACGTTGGGTGTCCTTTGGGTGGCACTATCCCGGCCTGCAGGAGCAGGATGTATTCCTGACTTCCGGCTGGTTGGATGCAGGTTATGAAAAAAAAAAAAAAAAGAAAGAAACAATTGGACTAGACAAAAAAAGTAAGAAGATGGCACTTGCAGTTGACTTCCAGAAGGGCCGGAATGAAGCCGGTCTAGATGAATGGCGACTTGTGTCCTGCAGGTTCCCATTCCCATTTGAATTTGACTATCCCCTTCTGGCTCTGGGAGGCCTAATCCATTCGTTCTAGTCGCATGTAGCATGTAGTATGTAGCACCAGATCCAACCACTTATGACTTCCCGGTCATTGGTCATTGTCTGTACTATGAATCTCCGTTGCACGACTTGAGCATTCAAGGCGTTTTTAGAAATACGGAATAGGTCTATTTTTTTTCTATAATACAAGAAAAAGAATTAATTACCTTAGGTCCAGACCGTCTTTTGTCCGAATTGCATCTATGAGGTTATTTACAGGGAGAGAAGAATATGATGTGTTGGCATGGGATCTTAGAAATTATACAGCTCCAAATCGTTGAGCACACACATGTCCTTTGAGGCTGCACTCTCGTCCGTTTTTGTCTCCTTCTTATTCTTATCCTTATTATCTCTCCATCCCCCCTCTTCCTCTTGCTCTTCCAAGAGTTAGGTTTGCCTTCTCATATCCTCATTTTCCCACAACGTTCATGCTTCTCTTCTATTTCCCTTTCTACTCTTTTCTCACCCAACCCATCAAGTCACTCCCACAGCCGGAAGTTGCCTTATCCAAACATGGATTTCTCATTCCATTCACAAAATTTCGACAGGGCGCAGATTTCAGGCCAAGGAGATTCGAAACCCGGTCTCTTGTCACAACCAGAAGCGCCATATCAGCCCGGTCTATCTGACTGGGCAAGATGGAGATCCCAGCCAGCTCCCATGCCTCCTCACCAATATCAAGGTTACAGCTTTCCTCGTGTTGCTGACGATGAGCCATACGGCTTGGATCCGTTGCCTCAGGAGCTCCTCGGAGATCCAAACGCATATATTGATGTCTACCGCTCGCATGTCACCCCCACCATGGCTGGCGCACCCTCAGAGGTATTGGGCCCCCAGGATGGAGAGGGTCACTCAGATTGGCCACTTTTGCAATCCTCCCCTGCCTTCAAAGCCCAGTCATACAACTATCCTCAGTTGGAGTCTCTTCAGCCACCTCCAGACTCCCCACCATCGCCACTTTCTGAGGTCTCCTCCTACCACTCCCCTCATTCACTCGCTGCTTCGAGTCCGGGAATGACGGCTCAGACAGCAGACCGTCTCTCTCCCCGCTCAAGCACTGGTGAAAATAACCAGGAGCGCCAGGGTCACCCTCCTTACTCTGTTCTCATCTACCAGGCCTTGAAGGAAGCTCCGGGAAACAAGCTTCAACTCCAAAACATTTACTCCTGGTTCGAAGCAAATACAGACAAGGGAGGGGACCCGAGCGCAAAGGGATGGCAAAACAGTATCCGCCATAATCTCTCAATGAACGCGGTAACTCTCACTTTCCATGCTTCATTCTTTCAGTTCCCGCAATACGTTTGACACAATGTCTGCTATATTTGATATCAATACTAACCTGGAGTCTAGGGATTCGAGGCAGTGAAGGAAGAAGTTGGTCCAGGCAAAAGGGCAGTGAGCTTCTGGAGGCTGACACCGGAAGCCATCCGCAGCGGTGGCATTCAATCAACTACCCGCTACCGCAAGCTTCAACACCAAAAGAAAGGAGTGAGCTCAGGCCATCGCGGGGCCACACGTCAGCAGTCGGAGTCCAAGGGGGTCCACGCCACGAAGGTCGTCAAATCACGCAGTGCGAGCAGCCCACATAACGAGCGCACCGAAGCATATCATCGGCGGCAAGTGATAGGCACGAACCCTAGCTTCGGACATGAATACGGCCCCACGAGCCTTCCAGCGATGCAAAGATACATGCAGCACCCCATAGGCCCTGTTGTCGGATGCACATCGATGATACCAGGCAATAATACGATCTTCATGGATACCATGGAACCAGGACCAGCATTTGACGCGGGACATACCCATGATTGGTACACTACAGAGTCGGGCTTCAACAGGGTCCACAACCCACTCGAAAGTCCCAGTCGATCATGAGCTTAAGTCTTGAAAAAAAAAAAAAAATAAGCCACAAAAAAAGGGAGGGGGAGGTGTGGTGGAAGGGACAGGACAAGATTCAGCGACGAACTCGGACGTTCTCTCCCGATTTCGTTATTTTTGCGTCCTTTTTTTTTCTTCCTGAGAATTTTCTGGCCATTGGTGGAGACCAATGTTGGCCATTGAGCACACTAGAGGAATGGCGTTATTTGAAGTGCTCATTTATTTGCCATTTGAATTCAGAATGTATTTGGCGGGCGTTCCACAAAGTGAGCCTCATGGCGAAGGAGATCTATCGGATTTTTTTTAATCTACTTTGCTTTTTCTGCTAATTTCTTTTGCTATTTTTCTTGCTATTTTTTTCCTCTGTTTTTCAGTCGTTCTGGCATGAGCAACGCATATTTTCTTTTCAAGTGTACCATAACTTAGTAGTGCTTGTGAGTATGAATCCGCATCTGATCGAGATCTATCACAAAGGCAGAGATGTAAATCATCCTTATCTGTCACGTTCGTCAATGGATCTTCAATGAGGTGCTTGGGTGTAGGCATGTATCTCGTGTAGCATTGCTTCTCTTGAGTCTCGCATGCTCTCTAGCTCAGTACAAGTGTACATCGTCGGTAATTTTGGGCATGAACAATGCCAAGAAATGAAAATATTCACACCTCTACTATCTACGCCCTGGGGTTTCGTATCGGATAAACATAGCCTCCTCCCTGCCAATGCATTAGCATTGCTCTTGTCCATAGCATGTACCATATGCTGTGTTGCTGACAATGCTTCATATGCTTGTACCGCGGTGTCTCAAGTGACAAGAATAGCCTCCAACCACAGTAAAAGGAAAATTTGCTGAGTGACCACCTGCACGTTTCCATAAATTGAGGCTGGGGATATTATCAAGGTCTTTTCTGCTAATGGAGTACAATAGAGCGCATTTACGCCCTTCTCCTTACTAGTCTTCCTTCTTTAGTCTCTCTCGACACCCAGGTTCTGTCCTTAGCTCACGCTGAGCAACCCCATCAACACCCCGCTATATCACTCTACCAACTGCTCCAGCAAGCCAGGGTGCTCGGGTGACGCGGAAATCCTTTGCAGCATCGGCAGAATCGGCAGCTGCATGTTGCCTTTCCCATGATCGTCTTTCCCCCCGGTCATTCCCCACTTCCCCTTTTGTCGGTATCCCAGAAGGACGGAATCTGATACCGTCGTTTTGAGCTAACAGATCGTGGAGAGGGCACAGACCTGTCTTTTAACCGGGGTGTATTCCCAAGTAACTCAACCCTGATAAGACTACAGACGATATATATGAGTTTAATTGTAGATATGCTATGATTAAGGCATGATATACTATGCTATATCATCAATTTCCTTCTCTAAGCTATGTAGTTCTATGCGGACATTTATCCACGTGCTAATCAAAAAGGTTCATAGTGCAATATCATAGCCATGGCAGGTTTGTGTGACAGGGAGATCGGTAATGACACCAGTGGGATTGGCCACATAAGCAACGTGGCCTACTATGTATTCTACGATGTTTGATGGATTACCACTTTTGTTTTTTTTAACAGATTTGTAGGTGTTATACCAATGGAAGATACATGTACGTACTAGGAAAGATACCGCTAGGGTATATGAAACTTGCATCTGTGGAGCGTACAGTGCAGTAGCCTTTGTACTGTAAGCAAGGTGATACTCACATTAACTAGATAGTATGTACCTGTGCCCTGTTATACAGGTGGTAGCTGCAATGCCGTTCACAATGCGGCTGAATATGCCAGTATCTAAAGTTGAGTTTCGAAGCTCCCGTACGGGCCGTGCCGATAGTGATTTATGTGTATTATTATATGATGCGTAAGATGTTTGTATTCTTCTCGAATTGGAGAATTGGAGGATTAAAATTAAGGGGTCTACTCCCAAGTGGTCCCCCCGGGGGTTTTGATATCACTTATTATTAATCTAGCCCTAACTACCTCCAGGGCTAGGGCTGGTATACGCTATGTACTTAGTGTGTACATACACTAATGTCCTCAACATCAATTTGTTAATACCCGCTTGGACCCTTCCCTAAACCAAACAGGGTATGAGACCCCCTCGTGACAGTCTGCAGGTCAACTAGTGACCTAGACTTTGAGTGGTTGTTCGTTGCTAGTACATATTGAGGGTGGAGTTGGACGTCCAAGCGACGGATGTGCGTCCCGCACTATTCTTTGCTAATCATATGGTAATATCACTAGCCCCCTTTGTTAAAGGAAGCTGAGCTTTTATGGTGAATCTTGCCTAGACTAGCAATGAACCCAATCAGTAATAGGAGCCCCTCCGGGATGGTGGCAACATCCCTCGAAAGCTGTATTCTCAGCTGTCCAATGTACTCTGTACTCTTTACCTTAGCCTTCTTTCTCTTTCCCTGTTTTGCCTGCTTTGATTTCTTTTTGACGTATATACCCATATGTCACGTGTATTCCCGTAATGCATGTCGTTGGAAAAGATCTTCATGCTGATCGTTGTGGAGAGGTCTTCCCTGCAGGGTAAAGGCAGCCAGTATCAATAGTCTCGATTGCAAGACTGAGCACCATCAGACACAGCCCCACTGTTCAACCCGAATCTGAAAATATCACGTTATAGGTTATAGATATCAAATTATCAAGTCGAGCCTGAGCCGGGTTCATCCTTTTGATCTATCAACTATCTCGGAAAGACAAATCGTGAACAGGGAGAAAGGGGTTCGTACTCTGTGGGTCTCTTCATTTTTAATCTGCATGACATCAATGTGGGTACAGAAATGCCACTTTTTGATATGTATGTACACAGAAGCCGGTAGGTTGCCCAGTCTGCTGGAATCCGGGATTGCAGACATATTCCAGTGCACGCCGGGAATTTTCTCTCAATATAAGTTACGTTGGAAGTAATTGGAAGAGATTCTATATTCGATATACAATATAGCACCAATGGCCATTTTCCTTTGTATTCTGACTTTCTATTCTTCTGGTGGAAACCGCACAAACCTCGCCCGTTGGGCGTTTGTGGGATGGAACGGCCCGGTTAGACAGCTGTCAATTCTGCATACGCTCGAGCTTTCTGTGACAAGCGCTAGCCCTCGGAGTGGATAGCTTTAGGGAGCAATGCGACACAGAACAATCGCCTGACCGCTTCTTGGACCGAACCCATTGTCTGTTGTCATCCGTGTTCCCGGGTCCCATCATGGCGGCTGCGAAAATTCCTCACCTCGTTGCTTTTTCGCAGCAAAAAATAAGAAAAAAAAAGTTTCGGATCCGGGCCGGCAATCTTTTCTATTGGCTCCTTCGAGGCACGGGAATTCAACGAATCGCAGCCGCCACGCACTTTACATATGCGCTACGTACTTAGTAAAACAACGCATGGAAGTAGAGGGATCAATCATTATTGGTACACCTTTAGCTGCTTCTTTCGCTATATATTGAGCTAGTGTAGACTACGTGGTACAGAGACACTAGATCTCCTCTTTAGAGATCTACTATCTTGTCACATGCCAACTCACGTTGTATGTTAACTGATAGCCATTACAGGATAGTCTGAGCATAATGCTATATTTTACTTTTGATTAAACCTTAAGGCTAAATGAAAATCCTTCTTATGTAGTACATGCACTTGGAATTATGGTCATGACCATAAGTTGGTCATAAATTCAGTCTATCTTCAGCCAATCTCATCTGCAGCCTCGAGGAGGTCAAGGCACAAAGGACCTGCAGGATGGAGCTCCTGCCTGAAAGGGCAATTCAAGGTATCTGCCATCAAGAATAATTATGCCACTATACAGCAGCATAATTCTTTTCCCGTTGATTTCCGATAGAGTGCAGCAAGAATAATTCTTTTTTATTGCGATTCCCGTGTCTCGAATATATATTCAGATCCAGGTAACATATTGCGTTGCAGCTTTTTTTATAGAACCATTTTTGGGCAATAAACCTTCAAACTAGATGAAATATTGTACAATGAAGCACCTGAGAGCCTTGCCAACAAGCGGTGTCATTTAACTCTAGCCCTAATGCATGACTGGTTGGGGTCTCAATCCGTTGAGTCAAACTCTGCGGATAAAAATGCCTGCCCACAATGACTAGCACGACATTCGATTGTTGTTTACAGTAGTAGTTAATAGTAAGGAGACTTATGCCCCCCCTGTCAGCTATGCTTTGGAGGCTACGAGGCGTAGTTGCTTGGCGAAGGCACACTGGTTTACTGATTGACACACTGGCGTACTGGCTATATCTCGACCAAGTCATAGATACATAAACATGAAATTTACAGATTGCTCAGGTGCACTATAGAATTTCTTATGACATACACAATATCCCCTGCCTACTTGTGTTGACATTAGAAGATGGGTATCATAGAGGTGATGCCCAAGTTCTTCTTTTTATGCTGGAGAAAGCGTTAATATATACATATGTAGATAGAATTCCACCCGCAGCAAAAGAAAATCCAGATCAAACAAAGCCTTGAGTTGTCTATGGATTAATTGATTGCGAAGAAGACGGTTGGGCTTCTATCAAATCGGAAACTATGCTCAATATAGGCATAATATATAACGAGGGCTTGAGCCGCTAGGCACCATACAGACCCACAGCTCACTATATAGTGTCTGGTTTCATTGTAGGAAAATATCCACCTAATACAGAGTGCTAGGTTGACCTGGCTTAGCCATATTTTACTCACACCCAAAAAAACAAGGCCTAGATCAATTGACCAGACCATGTGGGGTTCCAATCCCGCGTAGAATGTACATTCCATGAAGGGTACTAGCGCAGCTATAAATGAGATCGACACCTAAATATACTTTAGCACTGGAGACTAGGCGAATTACGATGACCAAACACAACCCTGGAGAATGTCTTTGGTTTACCCAGCGACAACTACGTTTTGTCTGAGCCCGAGGGCGTCTATACATGTTGTTGATCTGAAAGATCTTTCCAACCCCCCACCATGAACTTACCCAAATGCGTCATCACAGCTAGAGATCGAGTGCCACGATTGCTGACCGGGACAGACACGATATGTACGAGGCTTCCATCCGGGAAGCAGATTCAAGACACCACGGAGATAATTTCAGACAACTTGATTCGACATGTCAGGGAATCTCTCATGAAGATAAATGAAATTGATTCATTTGCTGAGCCCCGAGCCTTTTTTTGGACTCGCGTGCTAGCTGTTCCTGTTCATCTTTAATATTTTAAGAGAACCATTCCCAGCCGTTTTTCCCATAACGTTCGCTCCACCGTGAAAGGACAACACCGACAAAAAGCACGCTTAGCGCTTGGCGGCCTTCTGCTGGGACTCCTTGAGGACCTTCTTGACGATCTTCTGCTCCTCAATCAGGAAGGCACGCACAATGCGGTCCTTGACACAGCCAGCGCAGCGAGAGCCACCGTAGGCACGGCTGACATTCTTCTTGGGGCGAGAGATCTGAGAGTACTCGCGGGGGCGGAGGGCAGGGATCTGTAAAAAAAAAATTATTATTAGTCGATCCGATTCCGAAAATTCAGCGAGACGGTCGTATGGAGATTGTAGCGTTTCGATTGGCCATTCGTTCGCACACCTGTCCATCCAGACAGAGTTTTTTTTCCAAGTCGTTCGGTTGGCCCACACGTAATCGCACACATCCCACACAACCGTTCAAAAATGCATTGGGGACGCCAGAGGAGTACTCACACCGGGGAGCTTGATGCCGCAGTCACCGCACTTGGGAGCAGTACCCTTCTTCTTCAGGTGAAGGTAACGGAGCTCACCGCCGGGGGTCTTGACGATGCGAACCTTGTTGGACCGCGTGTTGTACCTATTGAAAGCAAAAAAATCCGTCAATAACTCGTTCGAAAAGGTGATAGTCATTCCGCTACTAGAATCATCGTATAGATCATGGTCGTGCGAGGGAATGGTCTTTGAGGGAATTTTGAAACGTACGGGTTCCGGCGGCGCTGAAAATCGAGAAGAGTCAGATCAATAATTTTCCAGTCTGGATTTTCTCGTAGAACTCACGTATTGCAGTCTGTTGTTGGTCATCTTGACTGTACTTGAACTGGTCAAGGGCGGCAGTTGTCGGAGTTGTCGTGAAGCAGAGTGAAATATGTCGAGATGGGTTTGTGTGGGTTTCTGCTTCAGCCGACGCTAGCGCAGATTTGGCGAGGTTGCGCTAGTCCCAATGCGGAATAGTGCCAGTCGGAGCCGCCACTTCTCAAAGTTCGACGGAGACAAGGAGCAGAGATAGTCACATCGCGTATGGGATCGTGGATCTCTATCTTTGTCGCGTTTGTATCTTAATCTTCTATCTCCCCATCACCAAGCTTTTTTTTTCTCTCTCTCAGTTGTATTTCTTTTTTTTTTTACTAGCTGCAAGTCTTGCTACACATGACCTTCAACCTGGCTTGACGCGACTTGGAACCAACACAACCTCTACGAGGGAGGGTTCCATCCATCAATCACCATCATGGCATCAGTGCCTCCCCCTCCTCCTCCCCTCCAGGATGGGGTGCAGCTCCCCCCTCCATGCCAATGGCGCCGCCGCCCCCGGGCTACCAGCCGCCGGCCGACCCGAACGTCGCAAAATTTGCGCAGAAGAAAAATGAATGGCTGCGCACGCAACGAAATCGGTTCGGTGAGAAGCGCAAAGCAGGATTTGTCGAGACACAAAAGGCCGATATGCCACCAGAGCATCTGCGGAAAATTGTGCGAGATATCGGTGATGTTTCGCAGAAGAAATTCACCAACGAGAAGCGGAGCTATCTCGGTGCGCTCAAGTTCATGCCTCATGCCGTCCTGAAGCTATTGGAAAACATGCCCATGCCTTGGGAGTCAGCAAGAGAAGTCAAGGTACTTTATCACGTCAACGGATGTCTGACTTTAGTCAATGAGACACCGCGTGTCATCGAGCCTGTCTTTCACGCCCAGTGGGCAACGATGTGGATGTGCATGCGTCGGGAGAAAAGTGACCGGAGACACTTCAAGCGGATGCGTTTCCCCCGTTTGATGACGAGGAACCACCTCTTTCATGGTCGGAAAACATCGAAGATGTCGAACCTTTGGAGCCCATTCAGATGGAACTGGATGAGCTCGAAGATGCGGCAGTTTATGAATGGCTCTATGACCACCGCCCCCTTCTCGATACCCCCCACGTGAATGGTCCTAGCTACAAGAAATGGAATTTGTCTCTTCCCCAGATGGCGACTCTCCATCGTCTCAGTCACCAGATCCTGAGTGATGTTGTCGACCAAAACTACTATCACATGTTCGACTTGAACAGCTTCTTCACAGCCAAGGCTCTTAACGTCGCCATTCCCGGTGGACCCCGTTTTGAGCCCTTGTACAAAGATATCGATCCTAATGACGAAGATTTCAGCGAGTTCAACGCCATTGACCGCATCATCTTCCGTGCCCCGATTCGAACTGAGTACCGAGTCACCTTCCCTTTCCTCTACAATACCCTACCTCGAAGCGTCAAGGTCGCTTGGTACTCCCATCCCCAGGTGGTCTACGTTCGCACCGAGGACCCTAATTTGCCGGCTTTCTATTTCGACCCCGTCATCAACCCGATCTCCTCCCGCTCCGTCGCGCCTAAAAATATCACCGTCAGTCACGAGGACGAAATCTTCGGGCCTGGCAATAATGAAGACGACGAATTTGAGCTTCCGGGTGAGGTCCAGCCCTTCTTTGATGACGAAGAGCTTTACACATCCGACACTGCGTCAGCCATCGCTCTGTGGTGGGCCCCTCACCCATTCGATAAGAGATCTGGCAAAATGGTTCGTGCGCAGGATGTGCCGCTGGTCAAACAATGGTACTTGGAGCACTGCCCCCAGGGTCAGCCTGTCAAGGTCCGAGTTTCGTACCAGAAGATGCTCAAAACCTACGTTCTCAACGAATTGCACAAGGGAACACCCAAAGCCCAGAGCAAGCAGAACCTCATGAAGACTCTCAAATCCACAAAGTTCTTCCAGCAAACAACGATCGACTGGGTTGAGGCTGGTTTGCAAGTTTGTCGCCAGGGTTTCAACATGCTGAATCTGTTGATTCACCGCAAGAATTTGACTTATCTCCATCTTGATTACAACTTCAACCTCAAGCCTGTTAAGACATTGACCACCAAGGAGCGTAAGAAGTCTCGCTTCGGAAATGCTTTCCACTTGATGCGTGAAATTCTTCGTTTGACTAAGCTCATCGTCGATGCCCAAGTTCAATACCGTCTGGGTAACATCGATGCCTTCCAACTCGCAGATGGTATTCTTTATGCCTTCAACCACGTGGGTCAGCTTACCGGTATGTATCGGTACAAGTATAAGCTTATGCACCAGATCCGTTCCTGCAAGGACCTAAAACATTTGATTTACTACCGATTTAACTCTGGCCCCGTTGGTAAGGGTCCTGGATGTGGTTTCTGGGCACCCGCTTGGCGAGTTTGGCTTTTCTTCATGCGTGGTATCATTCCCCTGCTTGAGCGCTGGCTTGGAAACCTGCTTTCTCGCCAGTTTGAAGGTCGTCACAGCAAGGGCGTTGCCAAAACCGTCACCAAGCAGCGTGTGGAATCTCACTTCGATCTCGAATTGCGTGCCTCGGTCATGGCCGATCTTATGGACATGATGCCCGAGGGTATCAAGCAAAACAAGGTCAACGTGGTTTTGCAACATCTATCAGAGGCCTGGAGATGTTGGAAGAGTAACATTCCATGGAAGGTTCCCGGCCTGCCCGCACCGATTGAGAACATCATTCTTCGTTACGTCAAAAGCAAGGCCGACTGGTGGATTTCTGTCGCTCATTACAACCGAGAGCGAATTCGCCGCGGTGCCACAGTTGACAAGACTGTCGCAAAGAAGAACCTTGGTCGACTCACGCGTCTCTGGCTCAAGTCCGAGCAAGAACGTCAGCACAACTATTTGAAGGACGGCCCTTACGTTTCATCTGAAGAGGCGGTTGCAATTTACACCACCATGGTTCACTGGTTGGAGTCTCGCAAGTTCTCCCCGATTCCGTTCCCCAGTGTTTCCTACAAGCACGACACCAAAATCCTGATCCTTGCACTTGAGCGACTGCGCGAGTCGTACTCTGTGAAGGGTAGACTGAACCAAACCCAGCGAGAGGAGCTGGCTCTTATTGAACAGGCCTACGATTCCCCCGGCACAACCTTGGCGAGAATCAAGCGATTCCTCCTGACACAGAGAGCGTTCAAGGAGGTCAAGATCGACATGAACGATAATTACAACAACATCAACCCTGTCTACGATATTGAGCCTATCGAAAAGATCACCGACGCTTATTTGGATCAGTACCTTTGGTACCAAGCGGAGCAGCGCCATCTCTTCCCTGCTTGGATCAAGCCCTCCGACTCCGAGGTTCCTCCCCTACTCACATACAAGTGGACACAGGGCATCAACAACCTGTCCAATGTCTGGGAGACTGCCGATGGCGAGACGAACGTGATGATCGAGACTGAGCTGTCCAAGGTCTACGAGAAGATTGATATCACTCTGCTGAACCGACTGCTCCGTTTGATCATGGACCACAACCTGGCTGACTACATCACATCAAAGAACAATGTTCAGCTCAGCTATAAGGACATGAACCACACCAACAGCTATGGTATGATTCGCGGTCTCCAGTTCTCGGGCTTCGTGTTCCAATACTACGGCTTGATGATTGATTTGTTGCTACTTGGTTTACAAAGAGCCAGTGAGATGGCCGGTCCTCCGGGAAGTCCCAACGATTTCTTGCAATTCAGAGATCGAGCCACTGAGACAAGACACCCCATCCGTCTGTACACCCGTTACGTTGACAAGATCTGGGTCTTCTTCCGATTCCAGGCCGATGACTCCCGTGACCTGATTCAGCGGTTCTTGACCGAGAATCCCGACCCTAACTTCGAGAACGTCATTGGCTACAAGAATAAGAAGTGCTGGCCTCGCGATTGTCGTATGCGCTTGATGCGTCACGACGTCAACCTTGGTCGTGCGGTTTTCTGGGACATGAAGAACCGCCTCCCAAGATCCATCACCACCATTGACTGGGATGATACATTCGCCAGCGTGTACAGTAAGGACAACCCCAACTTGCTGTTCTCGATGAATGGATTCGAAGTCCGGATTCTTCCCAAGATGCGGAACATGAACGAAGAATTTTCGGTCAAAGACAGTGTCTGGTCTCTAGTTGATAATGCTACCAAGGAACGTACGGCACATGCTTTCCTTCAGGTTACTGAAGAGGATGTTCAAAAGTTCAATAACCGTATCCGACAAATCCTTATGTCCTCTGGTTCGACCACATTCACCAAGATTGCCAACAAGTGGAACACTGCTCTAATTGCTCTTTTCACTTACTACCGCGAGGCTGCTGTGTCCACTGTCAACCTTCTCGATACTATCGTGAAATGTGAAACGAAGATCCAGACTCGAGTTAAGATTGGTCTGAACTCTAAGATGCCGTCTCGTTTCCCTCCTGCGGTCTTCTACACCCCCAAGGAGCTTGGAGGTCTTGGTATGATCTCAGGATCTCACATCCTCATCCCCACCAGTGATAAGCGCTGGTCCAAGCAGACGGATACTGGTATCACCCACTTCCGAGCGGGTATGTCTCATGACGAGGAAACATTGATTCCGAATATCTTCCGGTACATCATTCCCTGGGAAGCCGAGTTCATTGACTCTCAGCGTGTTTGGATGGAGTACTCGCAGAAGCGTATGGAAGCCCAGCAGCAGAACCGCCGCCTGACCCTGGAGGATCTAGAGGACAGCTGGGATCGTGGTCTTCCCCGTATCAATACGCTCTTCCAGAAGGATCGCAGTACTCTCAGTTTCGATAAGGGCTTCCGCCTCCGCGCCGAGTTCAAGCAATACCAGCTGATGAAGAGCAATCCGTTCTGGTGGACTAGCCAGCGACACGACGGTAAACTCTGGAACCTCAATGCTTACCGCACTGATGTTATCCAAGCCTTGGGTGGTGTCGAAACAATTCTCGAGCACACCTTGTTTAAGGCGACAGCTTTCCCATCCTGGGAAGGTTTGTTCTGGGAAAAAGCGTGTCTTGCTAAGGGAACCCGTCTCTTGCGATACGATGGTACTGAGATCAATGTCGAGGATGTGCGCGAAGGTGACCAGCTTTTGGGTCCCGACGGAGAGCCTCGCCGTGCATTCAACATAGTGAATGGCATCGACCGCCTGTACCGCGTCAAGATTGGTGGCGAGAAAGAAGATCTTGTGGTGACGCCGAATCACATTCTAGTGCTGTATCGAGAGGAGGCCTCCAAGGGTCCCCAAAGCTCGGAAAGACAAACAGTGGAGATCACTGCTGCCGAGTTTGCTGGCCTTTCCACCGAGGAAAGAAGCCTGTATAGTGCCTTCACATCTCCTGCGGTTGAAAAGGGCGCCGAAAGCCCAGCTTCTCAACTGCACAGTTTCAAGATCGAGAGCATTAGCCTCGAATCTGAGAAGACAGAATGGGCTGGTTTCCGAGTCGACAAAGATCAGCTTTACCTGCGCTATGACCGCCTTGTCCTCCACAACAGTGGTTTCGAAGAAAGTATGAAGTTCAAGAAGCTCACGAACGCTCAACGGTCCGGTTTGAACCAGATTCCCAACCGTCGATTCACCCTCTGGTGGTCGCCGACCATCAACCGTGCCAACGTCTACGTTGGTTTCCAGGTGCAACTTGATTTGACTGGTATCTTCTTGCACGGCAAGATTCCCACTCTAAAAATCTCGTTGATTCAGATTTTCCGTGCCCATTTGTGGCAGAAGATTCACGAATCCGTGGTTATGGATTTGTGTCAAGTCCTGGATCAAGAATTAGAGCAGCTTGGCATCGAGGCCGTTCAAAAGGAGACTATTCACCCACGTAAATCTTACAAGATGAACAGCTCTTGTGCGGATATCCTGCTCTTTGCGACGAACAAATGGAATGTCACCCGACCTTCGCTTGTCTTCGATACTAAGGACGTGTACGAGCCGACTACGACAAACAAGTTCTGGATCGACGTGCAGCTCAGATATGGTGACTACGATTCTCACGATATTGAGCGGTACGTTCGTGCTAAGTACCTTGACTACACCACGGACAGCATGAGTATCTATCCTTCCGCCACCGGATTGATGATTGGCGTTGATCTTGCATACAACCTCTTCTCGGCTTACGGACAGTACTTCCCAGGCCTCAAGACTCTGGTTCAGCAGGCTATGGCTAAGATCATGAAAGCTAACCCAGCTTTGTATGTCTTGCGTGAGCGTATCCGCAAGGGTCTCCAGCTGTATGCCTCGGAGAGTAGCCAAGAGTTCCTCAACTCTCAGAACTACTCCGAGCTCTTCAGCCCGCAGATTCAGCTCTTTATCGACGACACTAACGTGTACCGTGTCACGATCCACAAGACCTTTGAGGGTAACTTGACCACAAAGCCCATTAACGGTGCAATCTTCATCTTCAACCCTCGGACTGGACAGCTTTTCCTGAAGATCATCCACACCAGTGTCTGGGCAGGCCAAAAGCGTCTGGGTCAGTTGGCCAAGTGGAAGACAGCCGAAGAAGTTGCAGCTCTTATTCGGTCTCTCCCCGTGGAAGAGCAACCGAAGCAACTCATTGTCACCCGTAAGGGTCTTCTTGATCCTCTCGAGGTCCACCTGCTCGATTTCCCTAACATCTCCATTCGTGCCTCTGAGCTCCAGCTTCCATTCCAGGCCGCCATGAAGGTCGAGAAATTGGCCGATATGATTCTCCGTGCCACCGAGCCTCAGATGGTACTTTTCAACTTGTATGATGAGTGGCTCAAGTCTATCTCCCCGTACACTGCCTTTTCTCGACTCATTCTCATTCTTCGGGCTCTTCACGTCAACATCGATAAAGCCAAGATCATTCTTCGCCCCGATAAGACTGTTATCACTCAAGAACACCACATCTGGCCATCCCTGTCTGATGAGGACTGGATTAAGGTCGAAGTGCAGTTGCGTGATCTGATCTTGAACGACTATGGCAAGAAGAACAACGTCAACGTACAGAGCTTGACCAGTAGCGAAGTCCGTGATATTATCTTGGGTATGGAGATTAGTGCGCCTTCCCTGCAGCGACAGCAGGCGGCGGAGATCGAGAAGCAGCAAGAAGAGCAGAAGCAGCTTACTGCTGTGACGACCAAGACTCAAAACGCTCGTGGTGAGGACATCATCGTCACCACTACGTCTCAGTACGAACAGCAATCATTTGCATCTAAGACAGAGTGGCGTACTCGTGCAATCGCAACCTCCAACCTCCGGACGAGGTCCAACAACATCTATGTCTCCTCTGACGACATTCGGGACGATGGCTACACCTACATCATGCCCAAGAACGTCCTCAAGCGATTCATCACCATCGCCGATCTCCGAGTGCAGGTCACGGGTTACATCTACGGAAGCTCTCCCCCAGACAATGATCAGGTCAAGGAGGTCCGCACTATTGTCATGATCCCCCAAGTGGGTAACACTCGGGACGTCCAGCTGCCACACCAATTGCCGCAGCACGACTATCTCCAAAATTTGGAGCCACTCGGTATCATCCATACGGTTTCTGGCAATGAGCCGCCGTACATGTCTGCGGCAGATGTCACACATCACGCACGCCTCATGAACGCGCATCCTTCGTGGGATAAGAAGACCGTGACCATGACTGTCTCTTTCACTCCTGGATCAGTTTCGCTTGCCGCTTGGGGTCTCACTCCGGCGGGCTACAAGTGGGGCGCAGAGAACAAGGACACCACCTCCGATCAGCCCCAAGGCTTCTCTACCAACATGGGTGAGAAGTGTCAGCTGCTCCTCAGTGACAAGATCCGCGGCTATTTCCTTGTGCCGGAGGATAATGTTTGGAACTATAGCTTTATGGGCAGCTCATTTGGTAGCGTGGAGAAGAGACCTATCTACGTCAAGATCGACACTCCGCTTAGGTTCTACGATGACCAACACCGTCCCCTGCACTTCCAAAACTTCGCTGAGCTCGAGGACATCTGGGTTGACCGGTCTGACAACTTTGCTTAAAATGTGCAGCCGATCAGGCCCACAATCATCTTTTTTATTTTCCAAGCGTTTGTCTTTTTTGTACTCTTTTCCTTTTTCTTTCTTTTCGGTTCTTGTATCACGACAACCATAATTCATGTATTGCAGCGAGAACCTAGGAAAAAGGCCGGTGTGGATTTGTACAGTACGAGTTTCCTTTTGCGAATACATTCCCTGTTCACATCAATTGTCTTTTTTATTTCTATAATCAGTTAATAAGTCCCCCTGTAAGTATACGAGAATGCGGTTGGGTTCGGAATGCACTAGTTTGCATCACCCTATAAAGATTGCCGCGACGTATGTGCCTAAGCAGGCGCCCAACAGAACTATAGAACTCAGCCGAAGGTCCGAAGGAAATAGAAAAAGGAATATATATATATCTCTATCTAGCTATGCATCTATTGAAATCGAGGTCAGCCTAAGCTCCCCGCTTTGATGCATCAGACCTTTTTTTCTATTGATGACGGCCCGCATGCAGCTAGCACATTTCGGCAGTCCTTCCGAATCACATCTCCTGATCTTCCATTCGACAAATTCAACAAATCCAACAGGGTGTGCGAAAGGGTAAGAGAGGAGTGTGGCTGGGAAAATAAGTGATGTGACTCAACTTAACCCTCATCTCCTCCAATGATCTATTGCGATTATTATAATGCCTTTCTTCCAACCACGTTGAACTCTGTCAAGCCCAAACGCCAATCTTGTTTTCGGGTATATGTTTCACCCCCCTGTTCTCTTGTTCTATTCTATTGGACATATGTGATTGACTCCCGCAGGCCTTTGCTCCGAAGAAACCCGGTGCAATAGAATAGCTTGCCATCGCTTACTCGACTAGCCTGTACCGTCTCAATCAGCCGATACGATTTGTCCACCTCTTTTCCCAGCAACATGGCGCTGTTGCATGGAAGATCCGTCCAACAAATGAGCTCTTTGATTTGCTATGTCCCCGAAGTCTGACAGGCTTCACCTGTCTGCCGTGTCTTTTTTTGCCATGGCTCTTCACTTTTGACCCTGGACTTACCCTGGTCCCATATTTTGCATTTAGTGTTTACCCCCACCATTAATAACCGCTTTGCCAACAATGCTTTCGGGGGAGGTTCTACCGCTTCGAAGGGTTTTTTTGAACCCCTCCCCTTGGTGTTGGGAGTCTGTGCGAAAGCAAAGGGAGAAGAACACCTATGGAGGCCGGAAAGATGGGATACAACCTGCCTATCGCGAAATAGTTGATGATTCAGAATGCTCTTGCAGTCCGGTCCACTGGATACTGATAGAATCAGCCCGGCAACGCACGCTCCAACTTGGTCACCGGCCCACGGTTGGGTTTCTCTCAGGGGCGCTCTCCAGATGGTGTTATAGATATGTCCATCTCCTGGTTTTTTTGTTCGCTCATAATCTAGGCATAAATATTTTTGTTATTCCACCCTATTAAACATTATGTATAATCGATTCTTCTGCAAGATCTGCCTACAATTCGACCCAAACTAACCCTATCTATCCTTTTCTGCACGTCAACGCGTCGAGTACTTTCTCTTTTTTTATTGCGATTGCATATGCAGACAAGTTTCTCTTCGCATCTTCCTCCTATGTGACAGCAAAGGCCTTTTTTTTGGTTTGCCTTTCGACTCGAGGGGGACACTTGGGAAATAAACACGCCCTGAAATCGTTCATTTCCCAACAGCCACTCAAGCCACTTGCTGGGGCTGCAAGCCCTGGTGTTGTTTATATATGTCTACAACACCAGCGGACCTTTATCGAGGCTTCATGGTTAACTACGCTCCTCATGACAGTGGTAAGGATGCGAATCGGGAGGATATCATTTCCTATGGCGCATCGCAGTTGCTCCAAGATAGGCCTGAAATTCGCTACCACTCTGATACAACTCAGTCATCTTTTGGGTCTCCATCGACTTTTATCACGAATCACTCGCCGCCACGCCAGCCAAGTTCACATTACAACACGCACAGTTATAGACTCTCTCCAATACAAGGTAGCAGAAAACGACAACGTACCGACAATGGGCCTGGGCCAAATGAAGACACTGATCACAATTATGGGTACCGACCTATCTTGCAAAATCTACCCATGGGTGATCCACCGGTTTCAGCAGGCGGATCGACCGACCTGACGTACGCCGATCACGTCGGCCCTTCGTCTTCCCACCAGGCATCAAAACAGGAGTACCTCCAGGCTGCTCTCCCTCAACAGCATCACCACCATCGGCTACCATCCCAATCACTGGTTGGTACGAGCTCTGCTGATCAGGGCTCTGAATCATACCTGCCGCAAATCGACCGTAGCTTCATGGACCTTCCAGGCGTACCTACACCATACCCTGAGCCAAAAGCACCCAAGACTAGATTCGGCCATAAGGAAGATGAGATGTTGATAGCCCTGAAGGAACAATGGAAGTTTTCCTGGCGGCAGATTGAGTGCTTCTTTCCCGGGCGAAAACAACAAACATTGCAAGTCCGTTACTGTACCAAATTGAAGGAAAGAGATGTGGTTTGGGATGATGCTCTGGTATGGTTATCACCCCATAACTTAAGAAACTGTGGTTGGGCTAACTCCTAGGACAGGATAAGAAACTGAAAAAGGCGCTGGAGGAGTATGAGGACAACAAATGGACACACATTTCCCGGAAGCTTGGGCCCGGTATACCACCAGCGGCGTGTAAGCTGAGAGCAGAAGAGCTTGAATGATGTTCGGTGTGACTTTCTGTAGTTTAGAAGGACTTGTTTATTATATTGTGACTTATAGTGCATATATCCTGTGTCTCCTTAAATAATTCTTTGTCAATATATCATGTCACCCCCGTGCCCTACACAGAGAAGCCCTAGATGTTCCGAAACGGACATTCTGCCGCTCGTAGCTGATGCCGCCCGTCCAGAGCTTCCGATGTTCTGCCAATCAGAAGGGCTGACTCATCATCATTCGTGGTCCTATTGGATAGCTGAGCCAGCCAATCACAGGAGGTCGGACCAAAGCGGCTTCAAACTCGCCCAACCTCAAACCTCCAAACTCCCTCTCCTGCCCCAAACGCCCCGCGTCATCCACCCCATAACCTCCAGGACAATGTTCCTCCAACGTACAGCCTCCGCCCTCGCAAGGCGCTCGCCTGCTCGCGCTTTCACCCTCGCCCAGCGCCCCTTCTCCTCCTCCATCATTCGCTGTACGTAACTCCTCAAATGGCATGATCCGACCTTCGCACAACTGTTCCAATCCCTGCGCACCCCCGACCACAACACAAGGGGTGATTTTTTTTGCAGTCAATTGATCTGAAATATCTATTGTGATCACCCTCTAACGTGAAAGTTTTATAGCCAATGAGAAGAAGTGGACTCCCAAGCAGGAGGGCAAGATCCTGACCTTCGAAGGTTAGTGCTTTCCCCCGACCCCATGGCAGTCAATTGCTTTTCTTCCAGCCTCTGTGGCTCGAGAAATATTCATATATTCACCCACTCGAGCATCTGCGTACAATTGGACGCTATGGAACCTCGGGTGCTGGTCATGCGGATACTTTTCCCGAGCCACGGGCCCGGCTCGTCATTCTACCTCAAGTGGATATCTACAAGAAATATCTAAAGAACACAATACTGACCTATTTCTCTTGTCGATATGTAGAGATCAAGAGCGAGGAGGACCTCTTTGCTCCCGGTGCCAAGCCCGGTACCATTCCTACCGATCTCGACCAGGCCACCGGTCTCGAGCGTCTGGAGCTCATCGGAAAGATGCAGGGCATTGACATCTTCGACATGCGTCCCCTTGATGCCTCCCGCAAGGGTATGACTCCTTAATATCTCCCTCAACTTCTCATCCCAATTCCCGTATGACCAAATACGACGGAATCGCATGATCGTTGCTCTGGGACGAAGACCCAAGACATTGGCTGACCAAATGGGTGGATTTATGCAGGCTCCATCGAAGACCCCATCATCGTCAACAGCGCTGGTGATGAGCAGTACGCCGGTTGCACCGGTTTCCCCGCAGACTCCCACCAGGTCAACTGGCTGACCGTATGACCGCCCCATCCAAGCCCAACTGGGCTAATATATCCGGTTCCAGAGACTGACTTTACGCCTTTTAGGTCTCCCGCGAGCGCCCCATCGAGCGCTGCCTCGAGTGCGGTAACGTGGTCAAGATGAACTACATCGGACCCGAGGAGGACCCCCACTCCCGTATGTTTCCCGACCTTTTTTTTTCTTTCTTTGCCTTAATATATGATAATCTGTTGGGTATGCTAACAATTCTCGCTCTCAGACGACCACGACCACGACCACGGTCACCACCACCCCCCTCACGTCGAGCCCAAGACCTTCGCCGACTACGTCAAGCCCGAGTACTGGTACCGCTAAATCTTTAATGGCGATTTTCTTTGGTTATTGCTTGGAAATCCCAATACAGTGTCAACATTATGCTGCGTCTGTCTCTGTTCTGTCTCGGTGACTCCTCCGTCTCTTTTGTACTATAGTGCTCTAGTAGATGAAATGAGAGTGTGGGTGGGGTTGTTACTTTTGACCTATGATTGTCTATTTGGGTTTGTAGTTCCTATGAGATGAAATACCGCCGATACTCCTGTTAGTAGAATTTCTTTGGTACTGGAGTTAGGAGTACTGCTGTCAAATGGAAAGAAAAAAAGATCTCTATTTTTCAAGTCTATCCATATACCACTCCCAATCTAATGTACATGTGTATTCAGAAAGTTTTAGTAGTAGAAATATGTAATGAGACCTGTAAAGCCTCGTCGAAAAAAGAAGCAAGATCGAGTTGTCATATGTTTATAGACATGACATCATATATCAGCCAATGCCTACCGACCCACGAAACGAAGTTCGACGAATCTGAGAGGAGGGTAAACAAGCGCAGTCCAACAGAACCCGACATAAATACCCATCTAGCGAGTGATTAGTTAGACCCAAGAGACAGAAATGGGTAGTAGGATTCAAACTTACATCAGCACCATATTCACCGACCAATTTGGCAATGGGTCCGATGTACCACACCTGCGCCATACACAATACGGCGCCCACCCAGCCAACAACAAAGGCAGCGAAAGCCGCAATTCCAAGGGGAAGCTTTGACGGATCCCGCCAGATGCCCCAGTTATATCCAGTGCGGAGACGGAAGATGAATCGCTCCTCGAGCACAATGGCAATCCAGATGACAACCCAGTAGCCCATCAAAGCAAGGAAATTGGTGAAGATCTCAGAGAGGTTACTCCGACCAACGAGCGCGCAGACGGTATAGATAATAACGGCAATGGTATTCCAGATGACCCGTGGTACTGCTTCGGCGTAGCGACCGAGGATCTGGAAGTCGATGCCGGCGGAGTAAGTGGGCGCGACGGTATTGGCGATCAGGCCTAGGGCACAGATCACGGAGCAGAATTTGCCGAAGCCATGCAGCGGGCCAAATCCTTCGACGATTAGTGCTCCTTGACCTTGCTCGTAGGCGGCGGAGTACTCTGGGTGTGTGGAGATGCCCGAGGCAAGCCCGACGCCGCAGACTAGGGCCATCGTGAAGGAGAACATGAGGCCTGCCAAGCTTAGGCTGAAGAGTTTCACCCGGGAGGTATTTTCGGGGTAGTAGACGAAGAAGTCAGCTGCTAGTGGGGCGTAGGTGACTGCGGCGCTCAGACAGATGGAGAAGAAGGATAACCTGGGGCTATGTTAGAAAACCTGGGCTTCAATTCTTAGGTTTGAGATGCAGACTCACCTATTGCCAGCTACTGTCCGGGGATCGCCGGCAGAGGTGGTTGATAAGTCAAATTTCACGGATGACACTCCAAAAAGGATGCAAACCACAATTACTTGCGGTAAAAAGGCGAATCTAACATTAGGCCTGTCAGTGACACCGTTCCTCGTGGCAGTAATCTCTCAAACTAACCGTTCATAGTAGTGGAAGACTTGGATACCGAATGTTGCCACAGCCCAGCTGATAACCGCGATGATCACGATGCCTAGAATATCAGGGTTAGTGCCACTAGTGATGTATGAGGCTCACGAATTACCTACCGACAGCAACGGACATGCCACTAGGGGAGACAGCAGACAAGATTTGTCCGCCAACGACGCAATCGATCAAGCCATATCCAATCATCTGGACAAGGTTCAAAAGAACAATGATCTTGCTAGGCCACCAGCCCATCGAATACCTTCCAAAAGCCTGGTTACCAGTTAGCCCTCCCAATCAAATGATAGTCCAACATATCCAATACGTGCTACGTACCAATGTCCGGATCCCGGAAACGGGTCCCCATGTAGCCATCCAAGAGGAGACGATGGAACCAACCAAGGCGCCAAAGACAGCACAAAGGGCCGAGTCCCGGAAGCTGAGACCATACACGGCAGGCCCTAACATCCCGAGGGTGATGTTATTGGGTGCAAGGTTGATAGAGATCCAAAGCAAGAAGACTTGCAGATACGACATCCACGTGTGGCGCTTCATGCGCTCATCCGCAGCAACTCGCTCGATACCACGCGCTTCCAGGTTATACTCGATGAGCTGGTTCTCGAAAGCTCTAATAATGGAGCCCAATCGTGATCCGACGGGATTGCGGCGATTGGTCGTGGTTTCGCCGTAGAGTCCCTCATCCTTGTTGGCCACAGCGGGGGTTTCAGGTGCGAATTTCGTCAGGTCTTCCTTGTTGGAGTGCACCGCTAGGGCGGTGATTTCATTTTCTGAAGCCATGCTGCGATTATGTCAGTATCATACCTATTTTCCTGAGGAGAGACAAAGCGCATTGAGTCCTTTCGCTGGAATTACCCAGATCAAGTTTAACCGTATATTCTCAGAACGACAATAGTCGAACACCGGTCTTCATGCAGGAGGTTTGTCCTAGATACCTTGATCGTGAGAGAATACCACACTACTCGTCTTCATGGTAGCCGTCCCTTGTCACAGGCTGTGTTACCTTCCGAGAAGAGTCACTATGAACACACACTGTAGCGTCAGCGGACTTGATCAGGCAATCACACAGGGTTTGGGTTACCTTCGAAATTGTCTTTTCTTTTTTTCAAGTTCAAAATGAAGACAGGTAACAGCAAGTAACCAAAGTGAAAAGCGATCAATTTCCCGTGGGGGAAAAAATGGGGGAAGATTCGATTGCCGCGGGGAAAAAAATAAGATCGTCTCATTTTGGCTTTTCCGCCTCCACCTTACTACATAGTATGGTACTATGCACATAGATAGGTATGGAGATATGTAGATAACTAGTTAACTACTACTTACAACACAATCGGGTTTCTGATTTCTGCTTATGCAATTTCCTCATACTGGAACCAGTGGGAATCATATGGTATTGATGGACACAAAAGCGCCAAAAGAAAACAGCGCTTGTCATATCAAAACAGACAACGCCTTGGGAAAACATGATCGCAAAAATAGGATGCGCAGGTATTCATAGCGCATATCAAGGAGATTCAAGGATAATATCGAAATAAAGAGATCCAGATCACACCAACTCCATCTGCCTGGTAAAATCAGAGGCCTCCAGCGGCCACCGATGAAACTTGCATCGCTCTGGAATTGCAGGGAATCCGGAGGAGAGAATGCCAAATTCATAAAAAAAGATGCTAAGGAAAAGATATCATCACTTCGTCAGAGGCGTCGTGGTCAGACGTTCTTGAAATGCTCTTTGGCATACTGTTCGCAGGCCTGTCGGAAAATATTACGATTAGATGGGATGCACAATGACATGCAGGAACTTCAGACACTCACTTTGGCAGGCTTTCCCACTTTCTGACCGATCACCTTCCATTTATTCGCCTCGTACTCCTTGATCGCCTCACGAAGCTTCACAGACTGTGCGACGTCAGAGGCGGATGCGACAACGGACATTAAAAAAAAAGAAAAAAACGGTATCATACCTCATCCTCGGCAAATTCCGCGTAGTGCATGTCCTGCGTAAGGTGTCAGTAAGACGAGACGCGGTATTACCAAATTCGCTTGATATTGCGTACCTTATACCAATGTTTCTTGACACTGCCCTCGGTTCGGGTCGGGAAAGTCTGCGACAAGTCAAAAAAAATCCCAGGTCAGCAACCCATAGTTTCAGCCTATTAAAAAACGCCGCGACGCACCTTAGCGATTTCACTCCAACTACGCCCGGCATCGCGCATTGTCTTAAGTCGTTGCTCCTCCTCTGCAGTCCATGGGGTATTCGTCCGTCCCTTTTTCTTGGGCGTAGACTCGACTGTGGGAATGGCGCCGGGGTCATCAATCCCACCCGCAGGATTCCCTGGGGCTGCCATCATGGCTGACGATCCCGCAGGAGAAGGAGGACGTTTGCGCGAAGCGCCGGGGTTTTGTTGAGGTATAGGAGCAGTCGGAATCGGGATGCCTTCAAAGGTTGGGACGCGATGAAATGGATGGATCTGTTGTTGAGCAAGCATATGCGGGGGGGCGCTAGTAGTTGCCGACGTCTTGAGGCGCTTCGATGTCGGAGGGGAACTAAACCAGGCAGATAGTCAGAGAATAGAAGAAACATAAGATGAGACGAAGCAATGTAATAGGAACGCGACCCAGTGCACTTGAATTCCAACCCAGTCTCCCTCCCACAGCTGGAGGCCGGACGGAGTTCACAGACGAAGGGACTTACGACATGGTGAAAGACACACGCGGTTTTCAATCACACTGTGCCGATTCATCTGTACATACAAAAAAGGCCGCGTAGGAGGGTTAGCAGGATCTGGTACTGGCGCGCCTTGGGTCAACTCTCGGGAAGTGTTACACTAAAGACGATGACACAGGCGCATCCCAGGCAGAACCAGATTGACAAAGGTAACAGGAACAATAGAAAGGTATAGATCGCGACACAGGGAAGTCCAGACTCCGACCGGAGTTTTTTTAAGTCTTATCTGGATTGGGTTGGAACTCAAAGGGAATGCTCACAGGTCAAAATCGCATGGTCGAAGTGTCGATTCGGGGACCTCGAATTCTTCCGAATACGGGGAGAACATGAGGCTGGAAGATGGGGTTGACTTTGGGGGAAGGCAAGGTTGAGGAGAGGAACCCCCAAGCAAAGGGGGAAAAGTAGAGACTTTAAAAGCACAATAGTGAGAAAGAGAGTGAGTGAGTAAGAGAGAGAGAGAGAGAGACAAGGTTACAGAGAGAAGAGAAAGGAGGAAGAGGAGAGAGAGGAAGTTGTGAGGAAAGGCAGAGAGAGAGCGGGGATGGAGTCACCTCATATCACAACAACCAAAGTAATAATAGCAAGATATGTTTTTTTATATGTTTATATGTTTTATATACTGTTTATATACTGTTTATATATTGTTATAGTTTAAAAAAATGTTTATATAGTTTAAAGTGTTTATGTTTTGAATGGTTTAACGTGAAATGTTTTGATTTTCTTTGAAGATCTCACTATCTTTCTACAATATTGTACTCCGTAGGGTCGATTTGCTCCTACTTGTAACCCCTCTATTACCTCGATTACCTCTATATCTCGGTCACTCTTAACTTCCTCCCTTTTATCTATATTTACCTCCTTATATCAAAAGTAGATTATTCAATGCAAGCAAATTAAAATTCAATGTCGATTCAAATACGCCTCCAACCACTCCCTCCGGTGCATTCCACAACCCGTTCTTCCCAGGCCTAGGAACCAATGCCCGGACAGGGGCCCTGTCACAATTGATGACTCGTCCTATGATTCAATTCGACCGACAGTCAAGATGCAGAAGCAAAGATAATCACGTCCGGCAGATTCCATGAGACATTTGGGCCGAAGAGACCCGCGAGTGGCCTGTTCCAGAATCCGGTGACCCGGCGAGATCTCACAACACCGTGCGAGGATGACAAGATACGCCCAATGCGAGTCAACGACATACCCGAGGGCCTAATTATTGTAAAGCCATCCAGTAGCCCCGGGAACTCACCCCGTAATCACCATCATTCAATTGACAGAAGTAGAAGTCTCCGTCCAACCCGAGACTTGGCGGGCTAGATCAGCCACAAGACGGTTTCGTGCACGGAGTAAAGCCACCGGGGTACCATTTCCCCTCTCTTGCCCCCCCTGCAGGTCGTTGTTGAGGGCAATGCGCGGTATGGGGTAGAGGGTCTGGAAGGACCCTATCAGCATTTCTTTTTGTCCTAATACCGCGCGGGGTTCATCCAAGGCGTATATATATTCAAGCCCAACCTCCCAGAATCCTCCCAGTATTTTCTTTGCCACACAAGCAGTCTAACCCCCTGTCAATCTCTCATTGGTGACAATTAAAAAGATCGCTAATGCCCAAGCCGACCGGGCTACGGAATTCCCTGGCATTGTCAATTAAATGGGAGATATCAAGTTGTAATGATCGATTATTTCCAGCTAGGAGGATGATGCATGCAGAGGATCAGGTGTGCTGGATTCTTCCTAATTCCGCATATTATCAATGCGAAAAAGATGCTGCCAAGGGTCGCTGGGGGTAAATATGACTTGCATCACCCTGTTTTAACGAATTGGAAAGCTTTCGCTATCAAATCTAGGAATATCAAGAATATTCAGTTCTAGGCTTGCTCCGAACGAAATTTTGGGGTTCATATATCGAGCCTATTGCTAGTTTAAATAAAACATACGTTAGAACAACTATAGGAAATGTCCTTGGGACTTTTGAAATGAATCCAAGGACCGAACTGGGCAATTCTACCTAATATATTTAGGGTATAGAACTTACAGGCGGTGCCGGACAAGCGAGTTTGGTGACTAGGAACACCCAGGATGCTCACGGCAATAACTTTGTGATTGTCTTCATTGCCATGGGTATTAATACGGAGACTGCCAGATTCTTACTCAGGAGTTCGAAGCAAATGGCAGTATGGAGCGTACTACTCTCTTCCTCAGCTTGGCCAGCGATCCGACCATCGAGCGCATTATCACTCCTTGTTTGGCTTTAATGACTGCCGAATACTTTGCTTACCAGCTTGAGAAGCATGTTATTGTTATTATGACTGATATTTCGGCCCACTGCGATGCTTTACATGAAGTCTCCGCTGCCGGTGAAGAAGTCCCTGGCCGTCACGATTACCCTGGTTACATGTATACCGATTTGGCTACTCTCTAGGAGCGTGCTGGTCGGGTTGAGGGCTGTAATGGTTCTATTACTCAAATTCCTATCATGACTATGCCTAAAGATGGCATGAGCCCCCTTTTCCACGACTTTTACTTGTCTTGTTCTATAGCTGACCACATCCTAAAAGACATCACTCATCCTATCAGCGATCTTACTGGATTCATTACCGAAGGACAAATTTTCATTGATCGGCAGCTAGGCAACAAGGGTGTATACCAACCAATCAACGTTCTATCATCGCCTCCTCGCCTTATAAAATCTGCTATTGGCGAGGGTCGCACGCGGAAGGATCATTCAGACGTGTCTAGCCAGCTCTACGCCATGAAGGCTGTCATTGGCGAAGAAGCCCTTTCCGCCGAAAACAAGGTTTCTCTGGAGTTCCTCGAGAAGTTCGAACAGACTTTCATCAGTCAGTCTGCCTACGAGTCTCTGGATATCGCCTGGAATCTACTCCGCATCTACCCTAGGGAGCTCCTCAACCATATCCCTAAGCGTAGTCTTGATGAGCTCTACCCCTGTTCCACTCGCAAGATTACTGAAGTCTTATAGAGATTGTCCCTAGAATGACGCTGCCTCTTAGATATGTCGTAGGTATATACATCCATGGATGTATCTAGGGTCAAAAGTCTGACCTGCCTCGTAATCAATAAAAATTACGGAATGGACCAAGGTATCCAGTATATGAAGCAATGAAATTTAAGATAAAATATAAGAATAAAATATATAGAAAAGTGTGTAGTAGCAAGTGATGTCTCCCAGCTCTGCAAACATAGTCCGATCGAATCCAAGGCTTGCTGATCGTGACAATAATGGGGGAAAGAGTCAATCGGCTCGATCTTAGAATGGGAATAAAAGAAAGAAAGAGACCATAGAAGAAGAAGAGAACAAAGTCGAGCTAAAAATGAATGAACAATAATAAATGAGAAAATGAAAAGAGAAGGAAAATCCCAAAAAAAGGTACGGCTCATGAATCTAAAAGGTCGCTTCGTCAATATCCGACTCCAAGGACTGAGATCGAGGTCGTTTTCGAGACACAGTAGGTGTCGTAGGAGTAGGGTCAGACATAGCAGATGGCGATTCACTTTCACGATCACAGTGTTTTTCTTTCGCGTCTAGAAGTTGAAGTTGAGTTCTGCATTGATCGGGCGAGTACAGTCTAGTACCACCAAGTTCTTTCATCTAAAAAAGAAGATCAAAAGACACGTTAGAACGTTTTCTATATCATATGGGGACAGGAAATCTCACCTTGTCTGAAAGGTAATGGAATTTATCTCTTGCCCAGATCCCATGGGCGTGGATTAGGAGTTTGATCTAACAGAGTCACGTATTAGCACGGACTGTTTCACACATGTACATACTCTAGCTCACACAGCTTGTTTATACTATATGTTGCCGGGGGAGGGGGGTACATACTCACATCTGATTCTTCCCAGCGCACCGCTCGCTCTCGGTACCGGCGATGAAGACGCATCTGTAGGCGGGCTTCGGAGGCATCTTTCTTAAATCTCTCCTGGAATTCTTGACGCACGACCTTCCAAGCCGTGTGTCTATCCCGCAGCTCTTCTACAAATGCGTCTTCATCTTCTGCTTGGGGGTCGCGTCGCCCGCGGCCTGGAGCCCGGATCCTGGGGAGTATGTGTGAAGTTGGCTGGGCGTGCTGGCGATCTTGCTGCATTCGGAGAACGCCTTCGGGGTTGGGAGCGATGCTGACTGGTGTGTTACTTGGCTGCTCGCGCGAGGGCGTCTCCGAGGACGGACGTCTGGCGCGCTTAGCTGGTGGTGGACCCTGTGGCGACTGGCTAGGCGTTTGTGCCACGCTATGTTGGAGGCCACTTGGGTCCGGAGCATACAGGTAGGCAGGGTCCGGAGCTGAAGACTGGGGGAAATTACTCGGGAATGGTGCAGAGATGCCGAGACCCAGTGGGGCTGAGAGGGGATCATTGAGGCTATAGTGGTATTCTTGTGCGTGGTAGCCCTGTGAGTGGTGACTGATTGCTGGGCTGGGGTGAAACGAGCTATCCGCAAGACTGATTGGTGTCAGAAGGCTGTTTTGAGCTAGAGACTCTGTGCAGTAAGGGCTGGTGACTCCTATGAGCGGGGTCTAGATTGTGTACGGGGTCAGCTCATGTTGTGGAAGTATACAATGTGCTGTTTCAAAGGTGTATAGGTACATACCGCTGGAATCGTGGGCCAATGAGCTGGGATGCCTCCATAGTACTCTGACATTTCTTCGGTGCAGGGGATATCCGAGCGATTAGACATAATGGCGACTGGTTGCAACTCAAGCGGCAGATAAAACACGGGGTAGTTCACAGTCCACTGCGTTGCCTGGGTGGGGAGAATAAACGCCGAAGCAGCAGAATGTGAAACGAGTTATGAAACTCTGAGGTAGGAGAAGATGTGGGACTGCAGGCGGCTGATAGACTATGGTTTGCTGGGTCTTTAGGGCATGTGTATATCAACAAGGTCTTTCGCTCCAAATGGTGAAAAGAAAGATTCACCTTCCCAACTATCGACGGTAGCGGATCTTATAAGATTCATGCGAGCAAGAAAAAGAGGGGAAGATTTAAAAGCAAGCAAGATGCACAAGTCCGCCTGTCCTCCACTTCGAGAGATATCACAGCCAGCACCGGGATGCCTCGTGAGGCAAGATGTGAACAATCTGTCGAGGTATTAACCATAGGCTCAGAGGGCACCAAAACAGAGATCAGTACCGCCGGCGAGCGCTGTGCCGCATTAGAACGTAGGGAGATCCATGAAGACTCGACGAGAGCCTATATTTAAGCGCTGCGGACTCAATAGTCCAATGTTGATATCCATATTCCGCCCCCATCCCTGACCGGGGGCTCAGACTCTGCATGGTGAATAGGAATTAAAGTGAATCTATGAATTCAGACCCACTGCAACGGGCCAAAGGAAAAAGCAAAAAAAAAAGTAGGAAAAAAAACGTGCGCTGCTTAGGGTTGTGGATGATCCTCCACAAAAGAGACAAAGCGTAGCGCTTAGAACTTTGGAGAGGTCCAGTGGATAATGGAGGGAACCCCATTAAAACCATAATATCCATAATAATGACAATAATATCCATACTAAGCCCATCAATTACAAAATAGATCTTTCATTTTTAGTTTTCTAGTCAGACATAAAACACTCAACTGCCCCCAAAGTCGATAATGGCCCCATCTCTTAAAAGATGTTCTGCAAAAGTCAGCCTCGTTGACAGCCTACCTACTCTAAAAGTGTTTCATTTTGGCAGCCCCCACGAGAAGAAAAGAAGAAGAAAGAAAAAAAGAAAGAAAACCCCTCAAACTTGACGCTAGATTCCAACACACCGGTTGTGGGAAAAGAGGGAGGGATCACGATCCTCCACGCATTCTCACACTCTCCATACAGAGGCGTTGTTCAAGACGGGCGCCTCTTGACTGGTCATGGATGATCCAAAATTCTTTTGAGGCTGAGAAAGACCCCACGAGCCGCTTGGTGGCTTTGTCCACGGAGAATTCATGACCGCTGGTTAAGCGCTGATGTAGACACCCGGTGAACCCCGGTCATCCTAAAGGTGCAGAACAACCTTGGAACTTTCTTTGTGATATTTTTTTTACCCTCTTGCTTCTGTATGGATGAGCAAAAATTCTTTTTTTCGTTCTTCTCCTTCCTATTAGATCTCAAATCTCCACATTTTTGGTGGTCGTTTGCTTCCGGGGCATCTCGGTCAGGCTCTCCGAGCCACGTCGTGCTTTTAAGCGCCCAAAAAAAAGCCAGGCGTGTCTGGACCTGAAATAATACGTCCACTTCTTTTTGATCTATCTGCACCTCCCGATTTTGAAAAATAAACAAAAACAAAAAGAAGAAAGAAGAAAAACATTGCATGGGAGTTGATAGCTCCCACCAATCTTGGGTAGTGTTGAACCAACCTGGGAGGATATTTCTTCTGGATAGTGTATTTGGCCCCCAATTCAGCTCTGGGCGTAGATACCGTGAGATATTAAGTTTACATTAAGTACTCATCAAAACATTGGACAATAACACAATATCCTCTTTAACCTTAGTATGTTAAGGATCTCTCGATCTACAACTCTAGATATAAATCGAAAGAAAATCGGGAGGCTCTGAAGATCAGCGTTCCTTTCCGGGAGCACTATGTAGATTACCCGTGTTGACTATTTCCCATTTTCACCCTTGTACAGGGACTTCTATTATTTCTGACATTATCTTATGTGATACGCTATTCAAGATACACATTTTGTGGGGGCCGAATGCTCCTTTGGGTATGCCCCGAGGTGAATAGACACCCCAGTAATGTAATACTCTCTCTTGGGGGCTAACCCGGAGAGCGCCTCCATAAAGTAGCAGCCAATAAAAAAAAAGCCCCCAAAAATCTGGCATGTAGAACTACTGGTTTCCATGCATATGGACTGAATCAAGACAGTGCAGGACTACTAACTACAGAGTATGTAGAGACTAAAGGAATATCAGGATCCATAGCGGGCTACTAGTGACATCTAATGACATCAAGTAACCCCCGGGTAGCTTCATAAAACGGTGTAGGCTGAGCAAAAACGGCCCCCATAAATTTGGGGCCAGAGCACAGAATGCTCCGTACATGTTCTCATTTCCTAATTCTATCACAAAAAGTGGCCCGAAATAAAAATGTGGGTATCAAACCTCGGGAGATTACCAAACTAGAACGGCAGCGGATCTTCCCGTGCAACCCATTTAGAGCTCAAAGACTCTGCGCAACATCCAACAATGACATATAGTTATGCCATGCTGTAACAAATTTGCCCATAGCAAATCAGCCATCACTTAACGGGGATTACTCACCCGGTGATCATCAACTTCGTCCTCATCCCCCGAAAACCCATCTAAACTATCATCATGATGATGTCCCTTATTGTGACCATTGGTTTCCAAGGTATCATCAGCTGCGATGGAAATACCACGGGCGCCCCACCGGTTGTGGTTGGATTGACCATCCACCCCTTCCTCCTCGTCTCGAAGGTGTTGTTCTTCGTCTGTAGAGACTCGCGATGCCCGGAAATTCACCACACGATTCACCAGCCAACTGTTCCCATAGTCCTCGGAGTCAACGACACCACCATTGCGAAGCTTGACCCGCTGGCGCGAATAGTATACCCATGCAAAGTCGACATAAAAGGCAGTCTGTACAATGCCAAACACAACCGCGATCCAATCATTGAAGGGCTCCTTGTTGAAGAGGCGGACTATCCAATTGAGGATGTAGAATCCTCTGTAAGAGCCCAGAGCAAGCAGGTAATATGAGTCAATCACCGTCGGGACAGTGGTCTGGCGAAGGAGAAGGAGCTGCGGCAAAACACAGACAGACTCAAGAATAATAGAGAAAGCCCAGAAAAACTAAATGATTGGATCAGTTAAGTTGCGGGTATGAATACGTCGAGCTTTGCCGGCTTACCTCAAGGATCCATGGATTGTAAGACTCAGTGTCGAGAAGCCAGATTGAGATCGGTGCCAAAACAATGGACCCAGCCACAGACCACGAACCGAGTTTCCAAGCTCGCTCTCTCTCTCTCGTCCGCGGGTATACTTTCATCATCAAGAAGATCAGGTATGAGGAGGAAAGGAGGTAGAAGAGCTTGAAGGAGACATTCCAAATGCTGTGCCACGTGCCGCTCTTGTATGTGTGGGGATCGAATAGATCAAGATAGCGAAATACGAAGACGACACCGTAAAGCAGCTGCGTGAGGAGTGAGACGCCTAAATCAAATGCCCGTGTCAGTAAGATCTGCAGGGTACCTAGGCAATCGGATTGATACAAGGGAGCACAAACCCTCGGCACTCTTATTCTTGTGGATAGCCCAGAGCAGGACACCTATTGAGCCTGCATGAGACAGATCTCCAATTATACGAAAGATATTCCAGGCCACCATGGCTGTAGGGATGTGGTCGGACAATCAAGCAGTGAGCTGGAGGTGTGGGGTGTGGACACTTGTCAAGCTATCATTAAGGTCGGTGCCAAGTACCTGGCAGAATGGGAGAACCAAGTGGTGTCGAATAGATTGGAGGAGAAAGGACTTGTTTTCTGTGTATGTACGTTCCCTCCAATGAGGTTAACTTGTAGGGAGATGCAACGAGTGAAGGTATATTGGCGCTGTTGGAGTGACTGGGGGAGTTCGTTATCGGCGATCCACATGAGCTTGGGCCGCGTGTCCCCTCACGTGAGGTTGACGTCAGCGCGTAAATCGATTGGAGTAGTTGAATGGCGAGAAATATTGTGAATCGATTTTATTACAGGCCGAAAGAAAATATTTGACATCATTGGAGGCTCTATATTATTTTGAATGCGGATGATACTCGTAATCATGCAATTTGCCATCGGATTCCTAAAGCTCTCATTCCTGAAGGTGCATGTTTCTGTTTGATTTCAAAGGTTATACCTAGAAAAGTCTCTTGGGCAAGGTATAATTTCTTTTACCGCCTTCGTATACAACTAAAAAGAAATCTGAAAGAATAGTTGGAAGACATCTAAAAAGAACATCTAGGGACCACCAAAAGACCACCAAAAGACCACCAAAAGACCACCAAAAGACCACCAAAAGACCACATAAGCGACCGAATATTCTTGTTACACATCATTAGGAATGGTAGTCCGCGAATAAATACCATATGTGAGCAAGATCTTGAAGAACTATACGTGTAGCTGATGAGGTTACTCTGATAAAGGGTTGGCGAAGGAGTGCAGCCACATATAGAAAATTATATTGCACTGGCAAGTATTAACCCATCATCATTGGGCCATATAAAAATATATACATAATTTCAATTCCACCAATGCGAAGAATCAACTTCTCATTCATGTGGGATCAGAGAAATAAGTTCAACTTCCTCTCGGACAAGGTGCATAGCCATTGAAAGAATAGCAAAAAGATAAACAATTCTCATTAGGAGAGGCAAAGAAAAAGAAAAGGCCGGAAGGCTTAGACGTTTCTTAGAACAATAAGGACGTATGCCACGTGCAAAATATCCAAGAGTATGTAACAATGGCCCTGTCCTTGATCCAGAGACCCTGAGTGAGAATATCTACATTCAACAAAGGCAGGGCGAAACAGTCTAATTCGTTGATATGTGCTCCACTGAGATAGTGAAGTTACATAAAGGGATTCTACCAAAGATAAAGGCTTTGTATACAGAATGAAATCTGGATCAGACCGTTCCTCTGGATAGATAAAAAGAAAAACACAAGAAAAGTGACCCTTACCCGGAACTAGCCCGGAAAATGAAAGGCAAGCGCCTCAAGATCCCAGACATAGACTCAATCTGTTTCTTCGGTGTTTTGTATAAGAAGACGAGACGGGAAGCAAATTTAACTATCACTTCCAGGAACAAGACCATCCAATCTCATCATGGATACTCCAGACTTTATAATCCCTGACGGCGACCCCGTCAGCGACGCTCCTAGCGAGAATGTCCCAAAGACCAAGAAGCCTCGCCGTAGCCGCTACGACCCAGAGCCCGACTGGTCGGCCATGGTGCGAGCCAAGGTCACGAAGTCCCAACATCGTGTCGGCCAGGCCTGTGATCGTTGCAAGGTATGTCCATAATGCTCCGGTATCACGTTGCCTTCGACTCAATACACCATACTGACGCATCTGGATTGATATCTAGCTCAAGAAGATGAAGTGTACCCCGGATGCTGCAGGTTGCGCCTGTTGCCTTATCCTCAACATCCCATGCAAAGTCACTGATCGTGTCACCGGCGAGACTTGGGTGCGTGGTGAGGCTGGACGAATGCGAGCTCTTATCGAGAATCTCAAGAAGCAGACCGAGGACCTGAAGGAGCAGATCACACAGCTTCAGCAGAAGAACACACAGCTACAGGGCTATCTGAACGGTTCATACAGAGACAGTCTCATAGATCCCTACGAGGTATATCTACATTCTCCTCTCCTCTGAAGTCTGCATATTGCATTGAAATATTCACATTCTCATTCTTTCTCTTGGGGTTTAGTGCTAACTCAATTGCCAGCCGGACCTCGACACCAGACATCCTCACCATAGCCTACTGTGATTGTGATGCCTTTTTTTCGCTAGTGCTGTATTCTGGGCAATCCATCGTGCCTCATGGGCTTGGGTGTTCTGTCTGAGACGAAGTGAATGGCCGAGAAAATGGGAATGGCACATGGTGACAAGATTTGTTGATCGAGCACATAAACGCTTGTATTCTTAACACAATCAACTTTTCGTCTTCAACCAAGTGAAAAGTGAGAGATTTCTTACAGCAGATGGAGAAAATTAAACCGGTATGTTTTATTCCAAAGGGACATGTCAATGGGTATATGTAGTGTGAGCATGTAATCCCAATTTGTGCACCGGTATCCAAAATAGAAATGCAAATGCAATTGCCCTTTTACCAACTGGCGTTCCTCTTCCAGCAACAACATATTCCCTTGCTTTCACACCATTCCCTGACAGACGCAGTGCCAACCTCGCGATCCTCGCCCACAAGTCCAAGCCCCTCGATATTCAGCCATGCTGTGAAATCCTCCAGAACGATGGGGTCGTACATGAGTATCTTTTCATGCCATGTTGGTCGACTACGGCTACCGCGTGATGATGACAGTGGCGAGAGCCGAGGCTGGACGCGAACAGCTTGAGTGATCTTTGCAGATATTTCGGCCAGACTGATTTCTTTAGAGGATTCTGCTGTATGGGTGGTTGTGATGGATGCAGAGGATAATGGTCTTTTGACTGAAACCTTAGAAGGAGTTTTCCGCTTGGTCGGACTTGATGGTGGTGTTTTTGTGAGGATATCCAAGGAGTGGTGTTGCACCTCGCTGCCTGCCTTGGGTTTTGAATAGATATCCGAATAGTGCTTTTGTACTTGACTTGGAGAGGGGATGAATTCCTCCTCTGAGTCTTGGATCTCTTCTACATCAATGAATGATACAGAGGTTCCAGTGATAGGCTTCCCCCTCGAGGTTTTTGTTGGGCTTGTCTGGAGATTGGTTCGCGAGGGAGAAGTTGATTTTGTCGCATCAAGTGATTTTCGGTTCTTTGTAGATGTTCCATATTTAGACTCCGTCGCCTTCGTCTTCGCAGCTGCGGTGGATTTGGGGACATTGTCCATTTTAGAGGCAGGTTCTTTATGTTGCTCGGGTTGGTATACAGGCTGGCTGTCAGAGGTGGTATTGCTACCGTGTTTCGATTCCCAACAGTGTTGAAGGAGATCAATCATCTTCTTGCGGCCCCTGACTGCCTTGAAGCCATAAGAGGAGATCTGTTTAGACAGCTCCGCGTCTGTAAATCCTGTGTATTGTGGCATTGAGGGCGCCTGCGAGCTAGTTGACTGGGAGTAACCCGTTTTAGTCGGGGTATTATTGGTTCCTTTTGCAGGCTTCGCGGCTTTGCCCTTGGTCATGGTCGTCTCTGTAGCTGCCGGAATCAGAGCTGGAGTTTGAACCTGCGTGTCTGAATCCAAGTCCCTTTGGGTCAATTGTAGTGACAATGGTCTCTTTTCTGGGGGTGAATCTATGTCTGCGAATTCAAGCTCGAACCAGTTCCCCTGGAGAGGCTTTTGGCTTGCTTGCTCTGCGTTGTCATGACTATTTTTTCCAGTAGGCTCTCCGCCATCCGTCAAGTCAACCACGTTTAATGGTTCTGATTGAACCAAAGATCCTTCGGTGTCTCTGGCGCCAACACACCACAGATTCCTGGTGCCTGCCAACCTTGATACAGAACGAGTAGATGATTCTCGGTTCGTCCTGCGGTCCTTATCGCGCGTTCCCTCTGGATATGAAAGACATTCGGAGGCACGGATGGCCTGCTGGGTTTCTCGCAGAGTCTGTGGCGAATCATCTCTTTCCAACTGACTGCAGGTGCCGAATACAAGATCCTGATCATTCAGAAACTCGACAGCCGCTTTCGGGGAAAGGACAGTGAACGAGGACTGTTTCTCTGTCTCTTTGGCCTTTTTCGTTTTCCTTTTGTCGTCCTGATGTCCGGAAGGCAATCAATCACCAGATCATCCTCTTCTACATTATTTGTTGAATATTGCGCAGTCATGCGCGCTGTTAAGGTGGTAAACTTCTTAGGTTTACCCTTGGCAGTCTTTTTGGGATCACTTGGATCAAAATACCTCCCATTGAATAATGTTTGGATTTCAGGGTTGACCAGCTCTATCCGTCGACGCTTTGTTGGTCCTCCGCCATTTGCATTCTGCACAAGGTCGCGGGGATTCAAGGCTAGCCCGGAGTAATTATAATCGGACAGCAGCTTGCCAAACCCACCTGAAAGGTTCGGATCACAATATTTGCTTCCACCATCGTCCAAGGTAGCGATTTCCTCGTAATCGTAAGCGGTCTCCCTTGGTGGTGTCCAGTCCATCCTTCTCCTCACTGCCTCGTCCAGATGCAACACCTCATCCTTTCCTAAGGCATTGGATTCCTTGGGAGTAGATTTCTCGGGTACATCCTCCGAAGGGGATACTTTTGTAGCAACCGTCTTGTTCCCGCCTTTGCTGGGTTTCTTTGCTGGTGGATCACTGCTTGTCTTCGTAACTTTCCCAGCCAGAGTCATGTTTCCTGCATCATTGCTCTTGGCATTCTTTCGAGGACGCCCTTTGGTCGGTTTCACTGCGTCATTTTTTGTGTCAACAGTCTCTGGCTGAGGGTCCACAGGCGCAATTGTTGCTGGCCCATCCGCGGCTTTCTTCGCCTTTCGCCGTGGTTTGCTCAGTGCCGTTTGGTTGCTCGTGCTTGAAGTAGGATCCTTCTTTGTCGGTCGCTTTTTCGGCTTCGTCGCGTCCTCAGGACACTTGGTTCTCGCGATTGGAGTGGGGGAAAAAAGGGAACGCGTATGAGGTTGAGCCAAATCGGATGTCAAGCGTATCGGCGGTGGCGTTGCACCTCGTGGCAAGGCGTGAGGTACCGGCTTTGCATCATGCCTACCCAGCCCTGGCGACCGCGGTGGATTTGGAGAGGATGACAGAATAATCACATCTGCAATGCTGGCCATTGTGCCAAGTCGCGTCTCTGGGTGTTTGTTTGATTGATCAGGGCGAGTCGCGTGTACTGCTTGTGTTTACTATATCAGACATCTCCTAGGAAATGTTTGGACCGAAGGAAAAACAGTATTAAGTGTATGCAAGTTGGATATGCTGGAGAAGTAGCGGTTTGGAGAACCAAGTTCAATGCTTCAATGTTTCAATGTTTCGATGTAAAAGGGTCGATCAGCCGCGGTCTTGGCAAAGTTATTATTGCCATTTGACTACATTGTTCGGCCGGGTAACCAACTGTATTCAACCCCCAACACAGAGAATCTATATTAAAAGTACATTAACTATGGATGATTAATGGGTTCAATTAATTCTCCATTCGAATAACTATATTTCCTGTCATCCTATCTCACACTAGACAAACGGACAGGATCAGAGTTGTCGAACTAAAAAGGCATGTCTTGCGCCTCAGGAATAATTCTTTCAATTCATCATTATCTTGACTTCATGCACTGTCTCGACAAAGAGATATGGGGTGGTCTTTGCTCAATTTTGGGGCCGAGGAATAGTAGACCTCAGAAAAACCATGGTGATCTGCTTGAGATCGATGATGAACATATTCTCAAGTCGAAACCAATTTGAGCTCAATATATCCCACACTAGAGAACAACAGCGCGAGCTTAGAAAATGAATCTATTTTCCACTCGCCACATAGCAAATCTCAGGAATTCTGGGCACGGTGAATTTGTTTGCTTGATATAGGAAATTGCTCATGATCCCCTCAAGGCGATTGCACTCAACAGGGAATTTTCTAGTCGTTGCTTAGCCTCATCATTCACCTTAGCCGTTGGTGAAGGCAGAGCCCCCAGCTTGTATGCTTTCTTGATCTTGTTGATGTCGGAGATTTCGGAGAGTGTCTGGTCATTAAAAGGCACAGGTGTTCCTTGAATTGAGCTGTCCAAGTGGGCCGCAACAGATTCATGTGTTATCTCCGGAGAGACAGAGACCTTGATCACCAGCAGGTCTTTGGTCGAATCGGCAATACCGAATCTACGGAACGATTCGGTGATCTAAGTCCGTGTTAGCCCCGGCTTTAGTGGCGAAATTGCAGCTAATTCCTATAATTGGTAACCCACATTATTTGTAGGGTTCAATGAGAACACGATCTCGGAATGCACATTATGAGACTTCAGTCGATTGTGCATGTAATCATTAACTGCTCTGAATACTGCGGCAGTGGCATGAGCCCTTGACAGAACCTGCCACTTAGTGTTAGTGGACTAGTCCCTTTTCCTAGTTCTCGAGCACAACCTAACATACCATGCTTGCATCAATAAATGCATACTCGAATTCTTTTTCACCGGCGAGAAGTTGACCTTTCAGAAAGGCAGCATTTTGAACATCGCGATATAGAGCAACATGCACAGGGACCAATGGTAGATGTGGCAGGCTAATCGTCTCTAGACTTGAGGCCATGACTGAAATCGAACTAAAACCGAAGTCAAAAGAAGATGACGTATTTGTAATCAGGCCGATCTGATAAAAAAGAATTAAAGTGAACCTTGGAGTTCACTATGAGTCCACTGTGAGTCTACAAACCCATCCCACTTCCTGATCCACGTGACTCATTCTGGAATTTTCCGGACTTAAGCGGTCGCGGGCGGAACATGAGTAATCGCCTCTATATCACCCGTGGGTCCGACATTTAAACATCTCCTCATTCTTGACTTTCGACACTCCCCATCACAAACATGGCTTTCTTCCTACGGCGCCCGTTCGCTGTATCCTCGGCGCTTCGCCAGGTCCCTAAGTTCACAAACACCGCCCGATTTATTCACAATTCTCCCATCAAGCCCACCCAAGCAACAAAGCCTCAGGGCGTTTCGTCCTCGATCTTCGCCAAGTCCCGACAGAACTTCCAAAATGCCTTCCGCCGTACATACATGCAACAGAGCTTCAACCCTGCACAGGATAGCAACATGACCCAGAAACTGTTGTATGGCGCTGCCATTGTTGGTGGTACTGTTCTGGCGACCAACTTCATCTTCAACCGTGAAACAAGAGAGGACGGCGGTATGCCCGCTTACGAGCGGAGCTTCTTGAACGAAACTTTTATGCACACTGGTCTCGGTATTGGTATCATTGGTATTGCTGCTCGTGCCCTCCACATGAGCGGCTGGTCTTATCGTCTCATGGCCATGAACCCGTGGCTCGTCATGGGTGTCGGTCTCGTTGGCAGCATCGGCTCCATGTACGGCACTTTCTACACTTCCCCGGATAAGTAAGTATTTTGCCTTTCCCCCTTTTTTATTTCCGAAGAAAGCAAAACGAGCTAACTTCTCAATTAGCTACGTCATGAAGTATGGCTGCTGGACCCTCTTCAACCTTACCCAGGCTGCTCTTCTCTCCCCCTTGATGTTCATGAATCCCGCCATTCTTGCTCGTGCTGGCCTTTACACTGTTGGTATGATGGGCTCAATCGCTTTTGTCGGTGCCACTGCCAAGCAAGAGAAGTACCTCTACCTGGGTGGTCCCCTCCTTGCTGGTGTGACCATCGTTGCTCTCTCTGGCCTCGCCCCCATGGTCCTCCCTGCTACTGCTGTTCGCACTCTGATGTGGTCTGAGCGCCTCTGGCTGTACGGTGGTCTTGCTGTCTTCGGTGGTTTCACTCTTTATGATGTGCAGAAGATTCTGCACCATGCTCGTCTTGCCGAGCGCGGCTTGATCAAGCGTGATGTGGTGAACGAGTGTGTCAGCCTTGAGTTGGACTTCATCAACATCTTCATCCGCATGGTCCAGATCCTCGGCATGGGCAACAACCGTCGTTAAGCTACTTTATATCCACTGTATTAACTGTGCAACCTGATCTCGGGTTGGCCCAACACTAGAATTGGTGTTGCTTTTTTTTTCACTCTGTCATTCGGCAATACTGTATTTGAACCAACTGTTTTTACCTTTTTTTTTTTTTTTTTTTTTTTACTCTTAACTTTGATGTCTCTTCATATGAGCAAGCGCAGTTAATCGCTGTTTTGTACTTTCTGAGAGACAAACAGACAGGGTAGCGAATATAAATCTCCACTCCCTTGACATTTCTGCACTCAAAAACATAGCTGACAATCATTCAAGTCTACAAGCGTCCGGCTTTGGGAGGAAATAGCAAAAAGGAACATAATATCAATCACCTACTAGCCAACTATGTATGTGGAACGGCAGCGTTTACTTCTAGATGAATATGAGTAGCCATATCAGGTTCATGGTAGAGATTTAAGACCGTGGCTAGCTTTATCCGACATTATTATGCTACGTAACATTTTCTTGTTTGAACTCGGCTCAGGAATACAAGAAATATCATTTAGATACATGTACATTTACATAGTTAACTATTTATCTACAATGCTAATGCACCGAGCTAGAAAGGGCAGGTCGTGGTCATGTGATTGAAAGCTTCTCTTGGGAGGTTGCCCAAAACCGCCCAAGAGACCGCAGACTTCAGATCGCGATACAGACACCAGATTCATTGACCACTACAAACGTGCAGACTAAACGACTAAACTTCCCAACATCATACCAACAAAGTCGCACTGGTCTTCTTGCTCCCCAACCTTACAATATGTCGAACGAGATGGAAATTGACCCTCCTGTCGCACACGACGACGAGGCTCCCGAGCAGTCGGATCGCAGTTTTGAGCCACGCACCCAGGGGAACGCGGTCGCCGTGCGCAGTATCGAAGGATGGATTATCATCGTATCTAATATCCACGAAGAATCATCGGAGGAAGATGTCACTGAGCTCTTTGCGGAGTACGGTGAGATCAAGAACTTCAGCTTGAACCTTGATCGGCGAACGGGTTATGTCAAGGTGCGCATCTTCAATCTCACAACTACCTCTGAACCGCCCTTCAAAAACCTCCTCTCTGAAATATGGGAACTCTTGTCGACTCACATCCAATGAAACGATTGCTAACACCACTATTCCGGTAGGGCTACGCATTGATCGAATACTCCACTCTCCCCGAAGCCAGTGAAGCTATCCGGAACCTTAACGGTTACAAGCTCCTCGAACAGACCCTTCATGTCGACTATGCTTTTGTTCGCCCGCCCCCATCAGGCAAGAACAAGAATGGAGGACCAAAGGGCCGGGCTACTCGGAATCGCAGCAGAAGCCCCAACCGGAGTCGCAGCCCCGAAGCTGGCGGCGACCGTGACTAAGCTTTCTTAATGGATGGGAACGATAAAATTTGACCAGCATACATTGCTTGTGATCTTCTATTTGATACCTGGGCTTCGCTTTTTCTCGCATGTCTTTTTCAATGCCTCCCGCTGTTTCATTCGAACCTTTGCCCACCCTTCCTGCCAGAACTTGTCTACAAATAATAGACATATCATCTAGTATCCGCCGGCATGGCCTCTCTTCAGTCGAGCCTATATGGGTCCACAGGCTGAGTATGGGTGTGCTTGAAAGTACATGCACATGAGAGGTACATGCCGGCGCCACGATAGATTGCCATAATGGTATGGAAATCCGTTCTTAGCCTTTGACTAGAATTATGCTGACTTGAATTCAGAAATCAAAGGTCCTTTGATGAAGATTGAAAATTGATGTATGAGCATCTGGTCAACAAAGACAACCTTGGACCTCAAAGCTCAGCCTCTGGGAGTAATGTACATTATGAAGAATGGTTTTTCTTACTTACAAATGACCTTTCATCACGTCCATTTGTCTTGCGAGTCAGTTCAAGACAAAATCAAAAACGGTACATCAGTACTCAGTAGTCAGTAGTATACCATGTAGAATACCATGTAGTATACCTATATAGGATCCACATCATGCGACAGCCATCATAGTAGAGTTGATAAATGATTCTTGGATTCTTGAACTCTAGAGTTAGTATCGTAGAGTCAGAAGACTTCGATGCTTTTACAGGGTGATAATAAGGCTCCGATACCACATACAATGGATGTGGATGTGCTCACCTGCGCAGGTGGGCACCTGAGCCTGCGGGCAGCGGGTCTGGTGACTAATCTTAACCCTCCCCAGCTCCCCATTTTCCCCGCATGGCGCATGAGGTTATCGCTGTTCTTTTTTTAGTCCTCATTGGGCACTCCTTACTCTCCATCCTTATAGACTGACTTCGAAATCCTGTGTTTGGGGATCTGATTCTGACAGGATACATTTCCTGAGGCAGAATGGCTCCCCAACACACATCTTTTACCCCCTTGGGGGCATCACGATCTCTATACGGTATTCTTATGCTTTGCTTCCTATCATTTTCAGCTGTGGCCAATGCGCTGGCGTATCCATCTCAGGAAGTTCTAGCACAACCTTCGGTTTCCAGTTCAATTGATGATCCCTCGGGGGAGACTGTCTTTGAGGGTGCTGAATCGGCACCGGAAGGGTCGATCCACAACCCCATTCTGAATACCTTGCAGGACCTTATCGCTGCCCTGCAGGTGATGCAAGACAGGTACTTTGTGCTGTGGCAGGGCACGTGGCCGACTAGCATTGATTGGACTGCGGCGGTGTTGGGCACACACGTTTCGGCTGCGCTCTCGTCTCTAACCTCAGGTCCGCTTGATATCCCCGACACGGATCAATTGCAAGGATTATCCTTCTTGAGGCTTGAGAATACCGTCAATCGGTTTTTCAGCCATACTTCCGCGTTCTACTTTGGCGAGAACTCTTTTAGTGTCAGAAACCAGGCCTACGATGACATGCTATGGGTCGTGCTAGGGTGGTTGGAAAACATCAAGTTCCAAAATCTTCACTCGGACCTTCACTATGTCTCCTCAAACAATAGTTCTGGAGAAGCTTGGTATGGTACTCAGTTCCAGACTTCTGCCGCACACAGAGCACGTATCTTTTACGAGCTCGCCTCCGCTGGTTGGGACAAGACCCTCTGCAATGGCGGCATGATCTGGAGCCCATACTTGATGCCGTACAAAAATGCGATTACGAACGAGCTATATATATCTGCAAGTATCGAGATGTATTTGTACTTCCCGGGAGATTCCATCGATGCTCCATTCCTTGTCGACTCACAAGGCACACAACCCGCACGGAAGAAGCCGCACGACCCCCTTCATCTGCAGGCTGCAATTGACGGGTATGAATGGCTCAAGAACTCAAATATGACTGGGATTGGCGGTCTATATGCAGATGGTTTCCACATCAGCGGCTGGCAAAGCGCATCAAATCCCGGCTCAGGACAATGTGATGTGCTCAACCCTATGGTCTACACATATAACCAGGGAGTCATTCTCAGCGGGCTGAGAGGACTCTGGCTGGCCACAAATTCGCAAGTCTATCTGCGCGATGGTCACGACCTTGTTCGGCAAATATTGCAGGCTACCGGATGGCCACATACCTCCAGCCAGCAGTGGAGGGGACTTGGTCGCGGAGGTGTGCTCGAGGATGCGTGTGATTCTCGCGGAGTCTGCTCCCAGGATGGACAGACCTTCAAAGGGATATTTTTCCA